CAACAGCCCAGGAAAGGAATGAGCCAACCGAAGTTCAGAGAGGGCAAGCAACTTGCCCAAGATCACACAGCTAGGCGGTGGGCAGGGCAGTGGCCAGCATGGGCTCCTGTGGTTACAGCACAATGCTCTCTCCATGGAGGCAGCCCTGGTCTACGGCCTCACTGGAGAAACCAACACATTACCCTCTGGAGTGTGGCATACTCAGAGGTGCATTCTGGGTTGGAATGGATAGGACGCTAAGCAGGACTTGAGGACCATGTGGGAAGAAATAACCATTGGAAACCCCCAGAGCAGTTCTGATGGGACCTTGCCTGGCTGTAGGAAAGGCAGCTGGCATGGGGCCTTATACTGAATCAGCCCAATCCTCCATCTTGTCCCTGTGACCACCTCACTACCCCCTGCCACGGGGCCCCCACAGCCTGGCAGCCTCCGCCAAGTTTCCAGAGAATGTGTCAGATAAGGCGCTGGTGCTCATGACTCCCTCCCACCCAGCCACTATCTCTGACCTTACCACCACCGCCCAGTGGTAAGAATAGCAACAGCCGCAGTGAGTGGGCACACACACGGGACAACACCAGGCAGGCAGCTCTGGCCCTCAGACTGAGGACAGGTCTCCAGGCCCCTCTCCCCATCAGTTCCAGCCCCATCCCGCCCTGCCCCACCCCCATGTGGCTAGAAGTCCCACACCTTATGGTACAGCGCCAAGGCTAGCCTCTGCCCCTGCGGCCTCAGCAGAGGGGGTCTGGAGGGAGCACACCGCCTGTTGGTCCTAGCCTGGGGTCTCAGAAGCTGTGCGACGGGGAGCTCAGTGCCATCCATGTCTGGGTTAATAAACAGGGAGAGGACACAGCACCCCCAAAGCATGGGAGACAGGCAGCCAGGCCACTCCTGGAGCAAGAACCCCTCGCTGCTTTGCCCACTGCAGCCCAACGCAGCTCCTGAATGCCACTGTGAACTCTGACCTTTGACATCCTTGTCAGTGGGGTGTGGAGACGGCGAGGGGAGGGTGTGGGCGTCCGGGAGCTGACAACGGGGCGTGTTGTGGCTGAGTCCCGCCTGTGAGTCTCTCTGGGACACTCCCGTGGCTTTGCTTCGCGGTGTCGCACGAGTGTGCGAGGGCGGCTGCATCCCCCTGAGGGAAGAGGCGTTGTCATGGAAGCCACAGCGAGCGTCACTGTCACTGTGACACTGGAAGGGGGTAGATCTAAGGAGCCTTGTGTCTGAGTTCTGAGTCACCATGACACCTGAGGGGGCTGGGGAGCCAGTCGGTGCCCTCTGCGGGTCTCGGGCCTGACTCACAGCGTGCTCAGACCAGGCCCCAGGCCCGTCCCCCCGCTCTCCTCATCTCCCTCCTGTTCTGGGCAACTCTTCTCCTGGACTCTCGAGCCTCCTTCTTGTTTCCCCTGTGACGCCCCCAGTGGTGTGTGTGCGTAGCGGGGGGGCATGGGGTGCTGGGGGAGAGAGGAAGGGACGGGCTCCGGTGAGCTCCCTGCACACCACACGTGACAAAGGTGCCACACAGACCAGGCTTTGACGTTCAGTTTCACGCCCACAACCACACACATGCACACACGCACGCCAAAGGTGGAGTGACCGGGCTGACAAGGGCCCCCAAGGGTCCCCAAGCTCCATCTCCCTACGCTAGTCCTGCCAGGCAGGCCCCCCAACTCCTGTAAGCCTTTGGGGGTTCCCCCCATCTGAGACCCTCTAGTTGGGGACAGGCCGTCCCGCAGCAGCAGGACCTCTGGAGAGACAGGGGAAGGCCCCGAGGCCCGAGCTAGAGTCCTGGGCTGGGTTCAGCTGGGTGTGGGTGGGGGTCTCTGAGGTCCCAAGACTGTTTTAGTCTTTGTGAGGGAGGGCCAGGCTGACCTCGGGGCCTCTTGCTTCGAAAGCCTTCATCGCTGTGGCTGGAAAAAGTTTAAAAATACCCTCATGTTTACATTCTTTCCGAGCCCGCCTCCTGATCCTCAGTGCTGGGTCCCTTTGATCTGGCCCCATGCCTCTGGAAGGGTCCTGGGAGGGGGGGAGCGCGAGCCCCCTACTGAGGCAGACCCTGAGATTCCCCCCAGCTCCAGAGCAGCAGGAATCCCAGGAGACCCCTGGGTGTCGCAGAACTGAAGAGCACCTGGAGCTGGCTAGGAGCCAGGACGAGAGGTGGGTGTCTCCCCCAGGGTCACCCAGCAAGGCCAGTTGGGCCCAAGGCTGGGGTCCCTCTCCCTACTCCTTCCCCAAGCCTAGGCCTCACGGGCCCTGGGGAGGAGCTGAGCGTGTGGCCCTGGGCATCTGTGCTGAGTCTTCCCCGCACCTCATGGACCAGGTTAAAGTCACACGTCTTGGGCCTCTGCTGTGTGCCTGGCGCTGCGCTGACCGTGTTTTGCAAGGATTATCCCGTGTGGTTCAGCGACTCCACTTTATTGTATCTTATTTTCTCCACTTTTCCCGAGAGCAGCTCCACCGTGGTGACATGCGTTTTATCGGTGAGAGAGGCTCAGAGAGGTGAAGCGACTTGCCTGGTGACACACAGCAAGGATGAGTCGGCGCACGGACCGCATGTTCTTCTACCCACGTTGAGCCAGCTATCCCCACCCTGCCCTGTGGGGCCTAGCCCTGCTGCAGCGTGAGGGCATCTCACTGGCAGGAATCTTCACAAACACCCATTGACCGCACTGCCAAGCCCAGGGACCAGTGTCAGCTTCCTGTTTCTCTCCCGCGGTGACCCAGCAGAAGCCGCACCCCTGCACAACCTCACTCTCCTCTGTGGAAGGGGCTGAGGAGCACAGAACAGGTTCCCATCCACAGATGCTCAAGGAAACAGCCTTGCTCCTGGGGCTTGTGGACGTCGTTGTCAGTCCCAGCAGCGACACAGTCAGAGTGGTCTGGGGCTTGAAGAGCAAGGAAGAGGCCTCAGACAGGGGCAGATGCTTGAGTTACCCTGGTGCCCTGTACCCACCCTTTGTTGGTGGCCCCCCTCCCTGCTCACCAACCCATGTACACCCCCTCGCCCACCAGCTTGCCCATACCTTCCGCTCAGCCACTGTGGCGCCAGGAAGGCACAGAGCAGGATCTCTGTGATCCGCACAGACGGGTGCAGGAGAGTCCTGGAGCCCTCGGTGGCTTTTCAGGCTTTTATTGAGCCTTTTACCAGGAACCGGGGGGCCGGGGGCCCGGGAGGGTGGCAGGCCGCTCAGCCCCCGGAGAATCTTCACTCTTTCTGGGCTCTCTGGCGTTCTCTCGTGGTCTCTGCTCCTCCTTGGCTGCTCTGCTGGTTCTGCTCTCGTTCTCCCGGTTCCGTTCCCGTGACACCACCCTTAAAAGCCCAGTCTCAGCCCAGGTGCACCCACCTACGCCTGCCCGCGCCTTGCCCCAGGTGCCCGCCATCAGGCTTGCAGGAAGGGCGGCAGGGATCCATCATTAATGCTAAGGCGGGAGTGCGGAAACGTCTCAAACTTTCTCACCCGCCCATCTACCCACCCTTCCACTCAGCCACCACCTCCCTGTCTCTCTTGCTCTCCAGAGCAAGGGCCCAGGGAGCAGGGTGAGGCCCGGGCTCCAGCTGGATGGACTTGGGAAACTCCCTCCACCTCTTTGCAAGTCACTGTCCCCACTTTACCAGAAGTAGCTGGCCTGGGTGGTGACTAAGGCCCTTCTGGGGGATCTCTTGGGAGCAGAGACCAGCTAAAGGCCATGGACACTTGTGCAGAGGTAACACGACAGTTCCATCTGATTCCAAGACTCTCGGCTGCAGCCCTTGGCCTCCCTGACCTTTAAGACCCTCCACTGCAGAATCCTGCTCTTGCGAGTTGATGGGAAGGTTAGATGAGGAGCTGCCTTCCCTCCGGGAACTTTCTAGCTCTTTGACCCTGAAGAAGTTGGAGTGGGTGCAGGATCCTGGGAGAGGGGCAGGATCCCAGCTTGGACTAGGGTAGTTGGCAGAGCCTTGGGGGCTGGGGCTGAAGGTAGGGGTCGGGTGGGAGGGAAGTAGAAGAGGGAGGAGGGAGAGGGTCTGGGCCCAGGATGTCTTGGACCAACCTCAGAGTCCATCCCTCAGCTGAGAATCGTGGCTGAGTTTCCCAGGTCAGCCAGGATGCCCGCCCTGTCTCTCTTGGTGAGGTTTGGCCCCCATCCCGCAGAATCTGCCAGGAGTGGAGAGATTATCTCCTAAAAATAGGGTCTGGGCCCCACTGAGGTTATTTTTTTCCCTTCCCCGTGATTTACCTTCATCGGTTCAGGGCGCTTGGGACAGCAAGTCCCACCCTGGCTCCCCAGAGACCACTGGGCGGAGGCTGTGGGGGAATCAGCATGCACCTGGGATCAGTCGGGGTCAGGAACTGGAGGTCAGTCAGGAGGTATAGTTGGGGCTCAGCAGGGCCCCAAGGCCATGGCTTAATCTTAGGCCAGGGAAGGGGTTCACGTGGGCAGGGTTAACTCCAGGGTGAGCCTCAGGGATTCCTGTCCCACCCAAAGGTGCTCATCGGAGTGATCCCCTCTTCTCTGACTTTCTGCAGGCCCCCCTGCTCTCACCAGTTTCTCCATGGCACCCGAAGATGTCATGGGGCTACCCTGGGGCAAAGATGTATCCCCAGCCTCAGCTTTCCCAGTCCGGCCCCATGACACCCTCACGCTTCCAGGGCAGACCCTCCTGGGCAGGGGCCTCCGCCAGGCCCAGTGCTGGAGACTCACACACAGGGACGTGAGGGTGCGCCCACACAAGCACAGGACAGGAGAAGCTGTCAGGTGTTCTCTCAGGTCAGGATGTCCAGGAAGACACAGAATGACATGTCCAAGGACGCCCTCCTCGACACCACCCAGACGCTTAATCCAGCAGGGCCTCTGAACGTCCGTGGAGACGACCCGCCCTGCTCTAGCCTCACGCTCTCACCTAGAGCCCGTATGATGCTCCCTCTCTTTCCCACGGGGACCCCAGGCTTCTCCCTCAACCTCCCCAGACCCTTCCCGTTGCAGCAAGAAATGGGGGCGGGAGGAAGGGCAGGTGGGCACAGAGAACGCACACGCACGCACATGCTCGGACATCGGCACAGCAGCCCGCCGGGCCCTCCTGGCTCTCCGAGCCTTTATTGTTGGACAGACATGCCGCCATTCGAGGAACTCCCTCAGGCAACCCATAAAAAAGTTAGCGTCCAGGCCCTGCAGACCTGTCTGGCAATGGTGTGTCCATGCCCGCACAGGAGGGCGCTTCTGCTCTGGCCTGCCCCCCGTGGGTCTGCAGTGCTGGGCTTTCTCCCAACAGCTTCAGGTGGAGGCTGAGGTCCCTGCGCTGGCGCCTGGACCATTCAAACCCCTGCCTTTAGGGGCAGGCTGTCCATTGGCTGGTCTAGGTCCTTCTTCCTCACCAGACTCAAGTGGGTGAAGATGAGGATGAGCAAGAAGCCTGAGGGACCCGAGAGAGATGGATCAGCCAGCAGGAGGGGCCCTGGGACTTCTCCAGCCTCAGGAAATTTCCTAGACAGCATCCCCGAGGCTGGCTGGGTGCGACTCTGGTCCTCGGGCCTGAAGAAGCCTGACTGACTTGCCCAGCCCTCCCCAGGTCCCCGCCCCCTGGAGGCTGCCCCAGAGCATCCCAAACCCCAAAACCCCCTACTCTGGAGAACAGTTTGATTGTGGGGTGAGGGGCGGTGAGTGGGGGGTTGTCATCGGAGATCAGAGAGTTGTTCCTACACACCCTGGAGAAAGCTGGTCCATTGTAGCTCTGCGTTCACCAGCAAAGAAAACCAGGGGAAATATTAGGGGGCTCACAAATTATAAAGGGATGCAAAGAAATAAATAATGAAGGAATTAGGCTGTCATGATCCTGCACGAGTCACTTAGCTTCTCTGAGGCTCAGTGACATCATCTGGAAAATGGGGAGATGTCAGGATTTGCTGCTCAGGCTTACGGGGAAGATGCAACACCACTATCCTCTGCTGGGCACAGGGTGTACTCAGTAGGGGGGGTGACAATGTGACAGTGAGTGCTGTTATCAGCGGCCAGGATGATGATGATTATGACAGCAGGAGGCAAGAGCATAATGACTAAGGCAGTTGGGGAGGGGGACCCCTTCTTTAGTCCTCAGGACAGGGTCGCTGTTTATCCAGAGGCTGCGGTGCCAACACCCCTCCGCCTCCCCCATGCGGGAGCCCAGCCTCCATTACCTATCACTATCAGGGTGCCCACGAGGGTGCCCACCGCCGCCAGCTTCGTGGGCATGCCCTTCATGCGGCCCACCTTGCGCATGCACTGCCCATCCATGTTGCAGCGACACACAATCACTGGGGGGAGGGGACAGGGGAGGAAGGTCAGGGCCTCGGGGAGCCCAGTCCAGTCCAGCCGGCTGGTACGGGTGCTTCTCTGCACGTGCGTGTATTCATGTTTGGGGGAGGCAGGGTGCGTGTCCCTCCGCGCATGGGCCTGCAGGCACTCCGGTCTGTGTTTTCGGCCGTGATGTGCAGGTGTGCACAGGCGTGTGCTGCCCGTGTGAGCCCGTCGACACCGGTGCCCGGTCCCTCCCTCTGCGTCCCTCAGGAATTGCAGGCCACCGAGCTCGGCTGCACCTGAGCCCTGCTCTCACCTCGGACCTGGAGCTGCCACATCCGGGCATCGTGGCTGACAACCACGGGGATTATATGCTCACGCGGCTCCACCCAGTGCAGGGCCAGGGTGAGGTAGGCATGGGAACCTGTTGGGACCGTCAGCGACAACCAGTCACTAGGCTAGAGAGTCCTCTGGGGCCTGCTTCCCGCAGGTCCAGCGCCACCCCACCATCCAAGGGCCACCCCGCTTGGCCACAGCCTTCTCCACTGCTGACAGACCGTTGAGAGCCCAGAGGCGCCAGTCCCGCTGCACCGTGGGGTTGGGACCAAGGGCGAAGCTGTAGGGCCCGTGCCTGCCAGACGGGTCGGGGTCTTTGCTGGGCCCGCTGACAACCACGCCGTGGTCCTGGCGGGGTGTGCAGAGGTGTTGCGTGGGCACAAGCGTGGGCGTCAGGGCTGAGGCAGAAGGGGCCTTCACAAAGTGGATCACAAGGGTCACGGAGGTGCTCGGCATCAGCTCATCTGCAGAGAAGGCATCAGCCATCAGCCTCACCCCTGACCCCTGCGCTTCCTGCTTCTCTCTAGGCCGCCATCACCCCGCAGTGGTCTCCCTCACAAGGCACTGTGCCCCTTCACCGTCTAAAGAGTGGCCCTGGGCCTGTCTGGGTGCCAAGCTGTCCTCAGCCCCCCCGCCATCACCCCGCCGTGCCTGCCGCAGACAGCCGGGGCAGCCGGGACCTGGTTGGAAATAGCCTGACTGTATGCCCTGAAATGCCCGCACCACGGGACTGCCCGGTCCCTGGGACCCGCCCCCTGGCAGCCCCGCGCCGGCCAGCGCCCAGTGCCGTCAGCGAGGCAGCAGAGCCCGCTGCACCTGCCTCCCTGCCCACTCAGGTTACCTCCTGGCACGCCTGCCTGGCATAGCCCCAGCCCTCCCTCCGCCTGCCAGCCCCATCCCCTCTACTCCTGCCCGTGCCTAAGGCCAACACCCTGAGAGCACCCGGGGGTGCAGGGGCAGGGGCTGCAAGTGTTACACTAGGTGGGTGGTCTGAGAGGGCAGGCAGGGTCCAGCCTTTCTTACAGGGAGACCCCAAATCCAGCCGCCATCCCTCCCTTCTGCCGGGGGCTTAGTGGACGCCAGCAAGGGCCTCGGGGAGGAAGCCTGTCCTGCCCTCTGTCTGTCTGGGGCTTGCTGGCCCTCTGGGGGCCCACACTGCCTGGCCATACCTTCTTTCCGGGCCTCCACGAGCACCGTGTACCTGTCCCCGGGCCGGGCGCCCTGCAGGGGCCGGGCCGTGTGCACCTTCCCCGAGACGTCCTCAATGGAGAGCCAGCCCTTTGAGTCATTGACCAGGGAGAACCTGAGGCCCAAAGAAAATGCAGGCTGGAGGCACCGGGCTCGTATGTAGGCTGCTGCCCAGAGACCCCCCCGGGCCCCCCGGGCCATGTGAACTGCTCAAGTGCCACATCCTCTGGTGACAGGGTGGCAGCGTGCCTGGGGTCCAGTCTCTCCAGCCTCGGGGGCTTGTTGGGACAGAGCTTGCACCAGGGACACTAGAACAGGGGACAGATCGTGAGAGGCGGGGGGCCTGATTCAACTCCTTGTTCTCTATCATCCCCACAAAGGGGCGGGAAGAGGGCCAGAGCCTGGAAACAGCCCGTGGGTGCTGCAGTCTGGGTGAGGGCAGGTTTGAGTCCAGGCCAGCCAGGACAGCGCGGGAGACATCACCTGAACTCTCATGGGGAGCAAATCCCCCTCTCTGTGCCCTGCTGGCTCCCCAGCCCTGAGCCCATCCCCACCAGGAGTCACAACCTTGGCATTAGCCTCAGTTTGAGGACTATTCCAGGCCCCTCTGAGGCTCTGGGGTCATCAGTGGGGAGCAGGGGAGACCCAGCCCAGGTAAGGTGGGTTTCTGGCTCACCTGAGAGAACCGCTCATCGGGCCAGCAGGCTGGATGGTCAGCAGCAGGGAGCCGGCTGGGGTGCTGACAGGGACGCTGGCTTTATAGCTCTGCTGGTCCAGCTCGGGGCCAGGGACCACCCTCTCCACCAGAACAGTCACCGTGGCCGTGGCTCCGGGGCCTGGGCCTGGCCCCGCTGGCTCCGCTGCGCTCAGCACCACCACCACCAGCGTGTGACTCGGAGCTGCCTCGTAGCTGAGTTTCTGGAACCAGTGGGGCCTGGGTCACTGTGGGGGCCGGGGTGTGGTACACATGTGCAAGCGTGAGTGTGTGTGTGTGTGAAGGTCCGCCCTTCCCACCCCCAGCCCCTCACCTTGAGGAGTCGGAGTTGGACCTGGTTGGAATCTGGCTTCCAGTCCAAGCCAAAGGTCCCGTCTGCATTCCCCGCCTCGATGGCAAAGCGCATGAGGCGAAAGGCAGGGTCAAGGTCAGCATCAGTGGCCATGAGTGTGGCCACCAGCATCCCAGGCTCTGCATCCTCAGGGAGGCTTATGGGCTCAACCTGGCAAGATGGAAAGGGCCCGTGAGCCCCAAATCAATGTCCTTCCAAGGTCTCCTCCCTTTCCAAGGTCTCTGTTCCTGCTTACCTGGGAAGTGGTAAACTCGGGGGCATGGTCATTGATGTCCAAGATGGTGACAGTGACCGCACAGGTACTGCTGAGGCCTGAGGCAGGAGAGGGCATACTGGGGAGTCCAGGACAGGCACAGAGGGCGCAGAGGGCCCCTATCCCCATGAGGGCACTTACCGCCCTCCGCTCCTCCTAGGTCAGTGGCCAGCACCTGGAGCAGGAAATCCTGGCCGGCTCGGAGTGGGGCAGCCCCCAGGGTCACACTGCCGGAGGCAGAGTCTAGCTCGAAAGCCCCCTCCTCAGGCTCAGGGCTCAGCAGCCGATACACAACCTGAGAATGGGGGGAACCAGGGGCATCTGCGTCTTCTGCCAACAGGCTGGTTACCTTGGTGCCTGCAAGACAGCACCCACCTGCTGGGACCTGAGGTCTTGGCTCACGCTTTCCTCCCTCAGGCTGTGCTGGACCGACGCTGAGCTCGTGTGTGTGTGTGTGTGTGTGTGTGCGCACGCGCGTGTGTGTGTTTTGTTGGGGGGTGTGGACATTAATAGGAGGGCCTGAGACTGAGCCCATCTCAGAGAAGAGCAAGACTGGATGGCTCACAGGGATGTCACCCCACCCCCTGACAAAGCCCACCTGGGGGACTGAGCTCAGGAATGCCGACTGGGGGGTTCACGGGGGGGCAGACAGGTGCGTTGTCGTTCTCATCCATCACCACCACATGCAGCTCCAGAGGTTCCGTGTAGTCCTCGCCTCGGGTGTTCTGCGCCCGCACCTGGAGCAGGTACTGTGGTGGGCAGTGGGGGGGGGGCCTCAGATGAAGGTTGGGTCCACTCCAGCCTGGGCTGGGTCTGGCTGCCCTCCTGGTAGCCAACTCCAGTTCTTTGGGGAGCTCTTCCACCGCCTCAGCGTCTATGGGGGATATAACATCCCCCAAAGCCAACAAGACAGTGCCCAAGCACCCCAAGTTTGCCCCCACAGCTCCCCCCTCACCTCACCTCAGCCTGGGCTTCTCGGTCCAGCTCCCCGGTCACATAGAGCGTCCCCTCTGCATCCACATGGAAGGGCCCAGGGGGCTGGGTCTCCAGGTGGTAATGTACATTCCCCCCACTCCAGCGTACCTGGGGGGAAGACACGACACAAGGACACCCCAGAATGGAGTTCACGTCGGCCCTTATGTCTCAACTACTCTTGGGTGGGGAGCTTGGGCCCTGACTAGGGAGCGACCCCAGGCAAGTTGCTGTCTCCCCTGAAATCCAGGTAGGGTCCTTCGGTTTGGGACACTTGTTTCGGCCACTCCACGGTGGCCTTGCTGACCCAGGCCGCAGTGCCCGAACGGTGAGATTGTTTCATTCTCTGCCCTCCCGGGCTGGGCCTGACCCAGGGCGTTCCTCGAGGAGGCCTGAGACATTCCCGGCCTGGGCGACAATCCCCATGGCAGCAAGGAGGTGGCAGCTGTTCTCCCCAGGAAGACTTGGGCAAGCTGAGAAGGTCAGGGGAGAGCAGGTAAGGAGTCAGGGCCTGGGCCCGGGGCTGGAATGCCCACTCCATCGGGGGAACTTCTGGGGACAGTGGTAGGAGGCGCACAGCTAGGGGAGGAGCAGGGTTCAAGCTGGGCCCCGGGGCCACCCTCGCAAATCTCTATACACTCAGGGCCAGCCCCACCAGTCGTGGGGCGACAGCGGTCACTGATGGCCACGCTCACCTGGGAAATGTTGTGCGGGTACAGGACTTTGAGATTCTCTGCCAAGTGCACAGGATCCAGGGCCCCCCAGGTGCTCTCTACCACTGAGACGTCGATGACGGTTGTGGTCTGGTAGCCCGAGACTTGGTCACCCATGTCCTTGACCTGTGCCAACAGCTGGTAGGGCCCCTCTGGGGCTTGGTGCAGGCTGGCGCTCCCTAGAAGGTTGAGAGGTGGCGGGCAGCAAGGGACCAGGGCATTCTTCGCAGGGAGGCACCAAACAAAATCAAGCCTGTGGCAGGTGTGTGGGATACTCTCTTGGTCAGGAAATGAGGGGGGCTTTCAGCATCATTGTGAGCATCCCCTCAAGATGCAATAGCTTGCAAAGCCACTTGTTATTGTCCTGATTTATCCACATGAGGAGTGATTGATGGACTGGATGGGTGGGTGACTGGCACGGGGGAAGGGCACGTGGGTAGATGAGGGCATGATGGATTGAATAAAGGGGTGCTTGGGAGGGGGCTGCAGACGGGTGGGGATTTGAGCGCGTGCATGGATTTGGACCACATGTGTCGCCGGGTGGAGGTTGTGAGGGGCCGCTGATGGTGAGTGGGTGTGGGACTGACTTCTCTTTCCATCCCCAGGCCCTGCCTCTGCTCTGAACTCCCAGCTCCAGGTCTCTGTCGTGGCCAGGTGCAAGATCTCCCAGCACCTGTCTGGGCTACAACCCCTCAGGGCTCTCCTACCCTGGCCCCGGGGTTCTGCCTCCCCGCACGGCTCCCGCCCGGCCTTCTGCCTAGCAAGCCTCCCCCCTAGAATGCTCTTTCTTCTTCCTCTGTCTCTCAAGCTTCCACCCACCCTTCTCTGGCCGCTCGGAGGCCGCGGTCTCCCGCAGATCTCCCTCCCCGCCTCCCCGCACACCCGGCCAGGCTCACCCTCGGGGCTCAGGGCCAGGGCCCCCAGCCGCGGCTCCAGCTGGAACATGTGAGGGGAAGGCTGGGCTGGGGCCTGGTGCAGGATGTGGAATCGAAGATCCGAGTTGGGCGAGCCGGGTTCATCCCCATCTGAGGCCTCCAGGAAGAGGAAAGGGACGCCTGGAGGGTGCGGCGAGGACACGCTAAGGGGCGGCAGGGCTGAGAGAGGCTCCCGGGCCCCTTATCTCTCCCAGCCCTTCCGTCCCCCCAACACCGTGTCTGCGCGCCGGCGGGGAGCCGTGGGGTTTCATCCCACTTCGCTGACGGGCAGACCGAGGCGCTCAGGAGTGGACGGGACGCGCCTAAAGGCGCTTGGGTGGCCGGGGGCAGGGGGCGCAGAAACGCGAGGCTGCGGGATGGACTCTGGCCGCCCTGGCCCTCGGCCACCTCTCGGGCCCTCTCTGGGTTCTCTGGCTCCCCGGAAGCGCCCACCCGACCTGGCTGTGAGCCGGCCGCCCCGGGCACTCACCCGGCCTCGTGCCCCGGCCCAGCTGGACTCTGTAGAGCGCCTGCGCGAAACGCGGCACCTGGTCATTCTCGTCCTTCACGCGCACGCGCACGGGCTGCGGGCCCCACAGGACGCGCCCGTCCTCGGTCTCCAGGGTGACCTGGCAGGGAGGGGAGTCAGCGCCCCGCCCTGCCTTGGCTGCTCACACCTGCCCCGCGCCCTGGCGTACCTGGAGCTGGTAGTCCGCCTGCTCTTCTCGGTCCAGGGCCCGGGTCGCCAGCAGGAAGCCAGACTCTGCATCCACGGCAAAGGGGCCCTCAGATGCCCCCTCTGAACTTCCTGAGAGCACAACGCGCCCCTCGGCCTTCTCAGGGGGCAGTGGCAGCTGGTGGGCGAGAACAGAGATGAGGGAGCGGAGTCCGGGCCTGGGGGGTGCTCCCTCTACCCAGTGGCTCCTGAGACTCAGAGAGGGCAAGCACTTGCCCGAGGTCGCCCAGCCAGCAGCAGGACTAAGATTCAAAGTCAGAGCTCTCTCCCCCGGACTGGGTGCCCCCCAATACTCCCCCCTTTCTTTCTGGAGCTTGAAATTCATAATTCACCCAAATTTCACGCTTTCCTTAAAAGTCTGCTTGCCTGAGATTGAAATCTCATTCATCATGCACACTGCGATGTCCTCTCTGGGGAGCAGCTTGCAAGGAAGCCGGGGCAAGAGAGAGAAAGGAGAGCGGGGGAGGAGCCGCAGCAGTTGGGGGAGAGGGAGAGGCGAGGGTTCACCTTGGCCAGGTACAAAGGGAAGTCGCCGCCGTAGTTCTCCGGGACTTCCACGAGCAGCGCTGCAGGCTGGGCCTGGAGGAGAGCCTGTGGGAGAGTCTGGCTCTGTCACTGGGCACTGGGGGCCTGACAGAGAAGGGGTGTTGCTGCCCTTCCCTGGGCCTGGATGTGCCTTCACCCCACCACCCTCTGACATCTGAGCCCATCACAGGCCTGCACTCAGCTCTCACCTGGTGCCCTTCAGCTACTCCTGGCATGGCCCAGGTAGAGGGGGACAGGAGTGCTAACCCCTAAGGCCGGGATCTGAGGAAAAGGAGCAGGGCCCGGCTCACCTGGGGGAGGGAGAGGCAGAGCAGCCACCACCAGGCTGGGACCATGGTCAGGACAGGCCTACGGGACAGGGTGGTAAGGATCTGGCTTAGATCCGTGGGCTGGAGGCCCCTCCCAGCCCCCTCTCCCTGGAAAGCATTCCCCCCCTTGTCCAGGAAGAGGAGGGGGGTTCCCCAAGTCCCATGGGGGTACAACATCCCGCCTTCTTTAGCAGAACCCCTGCCCCCTGGCCACTGTGGGGCAGGCCAGGCGTCCCTCTTGCCTTCTGTGCTGCCCTTGCAACTCTCAGACCTGCCCTCCCCGCCGCCTGGACATTGCCCCCGCCCACTCCCACCCTGCGTCCTGCCCGAGCCGCTCCGCACACAGCCAGACTGGCCTCCTCCTCCCCGCAGGCAGGCTCCCCATCATCTGCGGAGCCGTGTCCAGCTCCTCAGCCAGGCCCCCAGGCCCCCTGAGGCCCCCAGGCCAGCCGCCCTGCTTCTCGCCTCTCCGTAGCTCCCCATGAGCGTTTCATTTCCACCCTTTTATTTGCCTCCCCAGCCTCCCCAGCTCGCAGATCCCAAAGTGGCTATTTCCCAGCAGACCCCCCAAATCCCCAAAGTTTGAAGCCATAAAGACCCTGGCAACTCTGAGGGTCCCCGCCTGCATTGCGGCAAGGCCGGGAGGGCAGGGCGTGACCAAGGTCACGGGAGTCTCCACTGCAGAATCCTCCAGGAACAGAGGCTGCTGGTTCAAAGGCTCCAGGACGGTGCCACCTCCCGCTGCCACCCTCAGAGTCCCTGAGGGAGGAACCCTGCCCTCCCCTTGGTGGCATTTGCCACCACTTGGCAGCAGCTGATGAAACGGACAACCCCTCCAAAAACGACTCCGCCAGTTCTTCCCTGGACGACGGGAGGACAGGGCCGCAGTTCTCACTCCCCTGCTCCCACCACCCCCACTCTGCCCACCCTCTGTCCGCTCACCCTCTGGTGCCTAAGGCTGGCTCCCTGGTCCAGCCGCCGGGGAAGAGCTCCTTCTCCAGGGAGCGCTGTCCGGGCCAGGCCAGGCCAGGAAGGAGGGCAGGACGGATACTTGCTCAGGAGTGGAAAACACCCCTGGGCCCACAGCAGCAGGCCTGGCCCCGCCCAGCCCCCCAAGTTACTCATTGACTTTGGGAAGCTGGGCACTGCTCAGCATCCGTGACTGCCAGCCCCAGGAGGTGGGGGAGTCGCCGAGCTGGCATGTCTCCCCACCCCCCACAGCCCAGTGCATTTTCCTGGGCCCCTCTAGGCTTGAGGACTTTTCCTGTGACTCCAGACTCCATCCCACCGGTACCCCACCAGCCAGGTCGGCGGCTTCGCCTTGGCCCCCTCCGTTCCTTCTGTCTGGAATGCCGCCCCCTTCCCTTCCCGCCCTGGGAGCACCTGCTCAGACTGTCGACCTCGGCTCACAGCCCCTCTCCAGGAAGCTTTCCCTGGGGTCCCGGCCCGGCTCTGCTCGGGGTTCTCTGGGAGTTATTTCCACCCTGCGCCCCCGCCCCGCGCCAGGTGCTCCCTCTGCCAAGACAGAGAAGACACCAGAGTGTCAGCGTCTGCCTTTTCCATCAGGCCGCGAGGCCGGGGCAGGACTCAGACTCAGCGGTGGCCTGGCCCTCGCCTGGCAGCTCCCGACCGGCCGGGGGAACTGAAACAAGCGGACGGAGCTGCGCGCCATGGACACAAGAGCAGTGCGCGCCCTACCCTGGGCACTGCGGGGCTCCAGACCCCCCAGCAGTGGGAGCAGCGGGAAGGGGGACAGTGGCCAGTGAGAACCCCGCGGCTCCTGAAGTGCTTCCACGGGGCCCTGTCCGGCCACAGGACTGTCTAGGCCCGAGAAGGAAAGCTCAGGTGACCTTGAGGGCTGACCCGGGGCCCCTCCCCCAGTGAGGCAGCCAAGTGGAGCAGAGAGAAGCTTCCAGGGCTGAGCAATCTGAGATGAGGGGGAGGGTGGGAAGGACCAGGGGCCCTGGCCTCTAGTCCCTCCTTGTTCTCGGAGCTTCCCGTGGTGTCCCCTGAGTCCTGCCCATCGCACGTCTGGCTGGTTTCTCTCAGGCTGGAAGCTGGGCTGGGATCCCTCAGCTGCCCCCAAACTTGTGTCACACACTGAGGACCTGCCTGGAGGTCAGATACCCTAGAGCCCCGCAGTGTGGCGGTTTGAAGGGGCCTCTCACGTGTTAAGCTCCCACTACGTGCCTGGTACTGCACTAAGCACACACTTCATTCTTCCACCCACTCCCTTCTGAAGGGGACATCGTCCCACGTCACACGTCGGGGTGCAGAAACGCTGAGTGGCTTCCCCAGGTCATACAGGCAGGCAGTGTGCAGAGCCTGGTAGGCCTGGCTGCTTTTTCAGGCTTTGGGGCCTTCACCTGCTCTGAGAAAACATGACCTCTGCATGCCTTGAAGTGTGTTGGGGCATGGGAATGGGGAGCAGCAATGGGCGGGGGCCACTGACATTGCCCTGGGGGCGTGTGGGTTAGCCAGAGGGGCCCCCACCCTGAAGAGCAACTCCCAAGCCTCCTTCTGTGATCGAACCACCATCGAACCACAGCGATCAGTGTTCCTCTACCCAAGTGTGAGCTACCCCAGGGGTCTGTGAAACAAAAAACTGACCCAGTGAAGGAATATATGCACCCTGACCTGGAACTTTCTCCGAAACTGTTCCCAGTCTTGCCCCGGGCTGTCCACAGGCTCTGGAGACACGCAGACCCACACGCCAGGTCCCCTTCCACCCGGTCACCTCGCCAAGTGCTTGTTTTCCACTTGCCCAGTGCAGGTGTTTGTTCCTGAAATGATGTAGGTACAGGCCCTGCAGACACGTGTGCCCAGAAGGGGGCCCCTCCCCAGGTGCGGGCGGCGGGCCATGGGACACCTCTGGCTGTCAGTGCACAGCACACTTGCCCACATCAAGGCAAGGCCTCTCATTTTGGCCAGGGCGGGTTCCAGGGACTGTTTCCACCGAGGCCACATTAGCCAAGCTGAGCATGGGAAGCCCTGGCCTGGACCTTCTCAGAGGAGAAAACACACGCCTCCTTCCCCAGCGGGGGCACCTCAGAAGTTTCCCACAGACAACCCACCTCAGTGGCCCTCCAGTTCCCCAGGAGGCAGCAGGGCAGAGACACCAGCCAGGGAGCCAGGCCCAGGGTTCTGATCTGACCATGAGCTCTGGGGCAGGGCATGATCCCTTGGGCAGCCTCAGTTTCTCTTATGTACTCTGGGGTGAACCCCCTCTCAGCAGGATTATACCAGGTCCCAGTGAGGAGAGGAATCTAGGTAACAGTGGGGGAGGGGGGCCGTCTTCTCTCTCTTACTTGGCCCAGCCCACACCTGCTCCCCCCACCCCAAGCTGGCTGCATCCAAAATCAAAGCCAACACTAAAACGGGGCAGTGAGTAGGATCCCTCAACTTTGGGAACTCTTCCTAGAACCCCTCCCAGCTCCCCCACCTGCCCCCCAACCCCCACACACACACCATGGGAGGAAACAGAGTCGGCAGCCCTGACCTATCAGGAAATAGTCTTTATTACAAAAATCTGCATGTAAACAAATAGCCGCAGCACTGAGCGGCCTCCCCGCGGGGCACGCACACCCACGTGTAAAGAGACCGAGCCCTCTCCCCACACGCAGGCCTCCCACTCGGGCTGGGATCGGGCTGTGGCTTGGGTCTCACGTGGGCCTGCACACGCATCTGTGGGCCCAGCCTCAGTGGCCACTGGCAGCCACCTCCCTGGGCAGCACTGCCCGTCTGCCCCGATGGAGTGGGGGACACCCAGAGTCTGAGGCAGCCCGAGGCGCCGGGGCGGTTGGCTGGGCCAGCCCACCAATCTGCCCATCTGTCTGTACAACAACGTATGTGCCGGGGCCCTAGAGCACCGACAGGTCGTGGCAGGACTTGGACTTGGCACGGAAAGCCATCTTGCGGCTGTTGCGCGCTACAATGCGGCCCAGGAAGCGCTTTGCCTTCTTGCCCAGGCTCTCCCTTCGCCGGGTACCCGCCTGTCTGCGTGCATTGGCTTCCTTGGTGTCCCTGCGCAGGCGTATCTGGCGCACGACACCCTCGAACAGCGCCTGGACGTTGTGGTGCAGAGCAGCCGAAGTCTCGATAAACTTGCAGTCAAAGACCACAGCGCAGGCCCGGCCCTCTGAAGTGGGTGGGGGACAGGCACAGGTCAGTACACAGCGGGTGGGCGGGTGGAGCCCGTGAAACCCCAGCCACCCCCTGGCACCTGCCACTTAGGCGTCTGTAGGGAAGCGAAGGGGCAGCCCAGGGTTCTCCCCAGAAAACACAGCCCAGAGGGTGCGAGGCATTGCTGGATGCCCCACGGTCAGTCTGCCTGCGTTGAAGGTGCTCACGAAGACCCAGAAGGGAAACACACTTGGAATAATCTGAAGTCTCGTCATTAAATGGAAAGGCCGCAGTGGTCAGCTCAGGGCGACGAGAACTTTGTGGACAACTTAGAATTTCACGGTTTACTGTTCGATCCTGATGAATGGCCCGGGGGACTGGGGTAGGGGGTGGCAGGGGTGGAGACTGACCAGGTCCTGCTAAGGTCCTTTGAGGGGGGACTTAGGTTTGGAGGCTCAGAGGAGGATGCTGAGCCCAAGGGTGGGGGCTACAGGGGAGGGCCCTCCCCCGGGGCAAGCCTGCGCTGAGACTAGCCTGGCCTTGGCCCCCAGGCGCTGACTGCCTGCCCTGCTTCCCTGCACGCTCCTCGCGCCTCTTCTGTCAGGCCAGGGCCAAAGGGGACGGGCCAGGCGAGCTCTGAGGAGTCCCTGGTCAGCGCCCCGTGGCTTCCATCTCCCCTAGTGCATTTGGTCCCCGCCCCATCTCGAGTCTTTCAGGCCGCTGGGTGTCCTGCGGGAGGGCAGCAGCTCTGTCCCTCACCCCCCACTCCACTTTTCTTCCTGGACATTTTAAGTCGCTGACGATCCCCAGGGACTTGAGCTCAGCCAGGCCTGAGTGAACCCTAGCCCGGCGAGGACCTCCCTCCCCTCTCTGCCCCGTTCCCTGCTCACCATCCACGGAGACCTCACGAGAGCGCACCAGGTCACTCTTGTTGCCCACCAGGATGATGGGCACGTCATCCATCTGCCTCGCCCGCCGCAACTGGATCCGAAGCTCTGAGGCCTTCTCGAAGCTGCCCTTGTCGGTCACTGAGTACACGATGACGTAGGCATCTCCCATGGCCATGCAGTGGCCGGGCAGCCAGTGGCCCCCGTCCTAGGGGACACAACAAACATACATCCACCCAGTTGTTCTCACACCCTGGCTATAAAGCAGACCCCCACCCCCGGCTCACCCCTCCCACACCCGCCCAGGGTCTCCGGGACATCCTACCTGCTCCCAAATGTCATAGACCATGAGCGAGGTCTCCTCTCCGTCCACCACGATGGAGCGATCGTACGTGTGCCCTGGGCAGGAGACCAGCAGCCAGGTTACCTCCTGGGCGCAGAAGGCCCTCCCTGACCAGTTGGTGGGCCACACCCACCAACTCCCCCCACCCCATCTTTCCGCCACTGAGGGCTGTGTGGCAACAGAAATGACAGGGGAAGTGGGGGACAGAGAGCATGGTGTGCCCCCACCTAAACACTCTTCCCAAGCTAGCAAGCACTACACTGGGTGGTCACACGGAAGGTCCCAACCGCCTGTTGCCTGCGCCCCAGGGTGGCTCTGATCACAGACCCCGGGGCACCTTTCCTAGAAACCCCCTGGGCTCTGTTCCCGCCCCCCTGTGCTGCAGAGCAATCCTATGCACCCCGCGAGGCCTGCTACTCCGGGCGTCCTCCATCAGAGGCGGGACTCTCCGCGGAGTGGGGAGCTGGCGTCTAACTCTGAAAGCGACTTCAGAATCTCGTGGCATTTGCCGCTTTGGATCCGAGCCCCCAGCCCTGGCGCCCCGGGTCCGCACCCGCAGCCCCTCACCTGCAGCCTCCGCCTCGGGCCCGTCCTCCACGCCGCCGAAGATGCGCGCCAGGGCGCTCTTGCCCACGCCGGGCGCCCCCAGCAGCAGCACCTTGAAAACGCTGTCGTCGGAGTCGCTGCCCCCGGAGCTGAGCGATTCCGAGGACCCCTCGGGCCAGTCCAGCCGGGGGCCCGCGGGCCGGTCCCCGGATCCCGCCACGGCCGGGGCGCCGGGCGCCAGCGCCGCCTGCAGGTCGCGCGCGTCCACGGGCATGCTGCGGCGGTGCAGCGCGGGCGCCGCGCCCCAGGGCGAGCTGCCCCGACGGCGCTCGCGCTCCCGGCCCGCGCCCGCCACGCCGCCGCCGCCGTCCAGGGTCATCGCGTCCACGCGGGCTGGGGGCTGCGGCGGGAGCGGGTCAGGCGCGGCGGGGACGCCCCGCACGCCGCCCGACGGGTGGGCCGGCCGCGGCGCCCCCGCCCCCCGCCCCGCGGGGCCCCGAGCCTGCGCGGACTCGGCCCTCCCCGCGGCCCGTCCGCCCGCACCCCAGAACGGGCTACAACCCCGCCCCCGCCCCGCTGGACGCTCACCCGCTCGCCCACCGACAGCGCCACAGCAGGTCGGGGCTCGCGCAAGCCGCTCGCGCACTCGGGCTCAGCCACGACGCCGCAGCCGCTGCCTCCCGGCCACGCCGGCCCGCGCCGGAGCCGCCTATTTAAGCCCCGGCCCGCCCCCGCCCCCCGCCCCCGCGCCCGCCCCCGCCCGCCGCTGGGGGGCTGACGTGTCCGTCTGCTCCCCCCACCCAGGGGAATCCCCCACCCTCCTCCGCGGGCCTCACACCACCCAGACCCGCCCCGCCCGCCAGGACACGTGTGCGTGCGTGTGTGTGTGTGTGTGTGTGTGTGCGCGTGTGTGTGTTCAGGGGAAGGGTTTGATGTGGGGGAGGGGGAGCAGGAGGTGGAGGGCGCCCCATGGGTGGGGGAAGCCAGAGGAGCCAAGGGCGCCAGAGTTAGACTCGGCCCTTTAACAGTGACGCTCCCTCCCCTCTCCCGGCGCCGGCTGCTGCCCCGAAGCTACAGGCTGCCAGACCTCACCCTTCTCTCCCACGACACCCACTGCCCACTGGCTCGCGTCTGAGCTAGAATTTAAGGGTCCGGAATCCCCACTTCTGACCGCAACACCAAGTCCTTTCTACTCCCCTCAACCTGCCCCAGGGAGGTGAAGATTCTCCCTGCCCTTCAGAAAGGCTAGTGTCGCCCCCACCCCTGGGCCTCACCCCTGGGCCCCACCCCTGGGCCCCAGGGGCCTTGCAGAGCCATTTGGAGGAGGGCGCAAGGAAAGGTTGCCCCTGGCAGTGGGTTGAAGGGCTTGATTCTGGGGGGAATAGAGGTCCAGAGAAGGGGAACGAGGCGCGCCGTCTCCACCTCACCCCTGCCCTCCCATCACCCTCCAGGCAGCTGCCAGCAGCTCTGCTAAAAATAGCTGGCCCTGGCCCTTCTGCTGCTGGTCACTCGGCTACCGGGCTGGAGGCTGCCCAGGCTTGGGGAAATCCAGGCAGACAGGTGTCAGAGGCCAACAGGAGCTGATAGGAAGGGGCTGGACCGGGATCAGCCTGGGTCCAGATGCTTTGAGTCTTCCGTGTCCGGACTGCCTGCGGCTCAGGGCCATCCAGAATTGAGCGGTTCAGTCTTCTACCAGGAGGGGTATAGTGGGTGTGGGTTCGTGTAGGGGGGTATTTTAGCCACCACTGCCCAGAGCTCACCGACCCCCAGGCCTAGGGTGGGTGTCTGGGCACACCAGGGAGGAGATGTAATGGGGGGGCTGCCCACAGGCTCATGGGTCTTGCCCCGTCCCAGCCTCAGGCTACCCAGCTGCAAACTTGGCATTATCTGTTGGCCTTGCTCTTGTCTGGGGTGTTGAGTATTGGGGGCAGGCAGCTGTGAGGTGCTTTGTGACAGCACCCTGCTGTCAGACTCTGACGTTTGATGACAAATGTGGCGGGGGTGGGGAGCAGGCATTCAGGGCTCGGGTGACATCATGGATGAGTGGATCTTGGTGGGCTGTTGTAGGTTGTCATGGAGACCTGGGTCGGGCTCTCTGGCTGCTGCATCAGTTTCCTTGGTAACATCCTAGAGGGCCCTGGAGTCAGGAGGGCCTGGTTAGGTAAATGTTAGGGGTCCCTAAAGTAGGTGAAGGCTGAAATGAGGGGTATCTTGTTCCTTCGTGCCCTTTCCTGGATGAGGTTCAGCGGGAAGAGGGAGGTGTGGGTCAAGCCAGAGGACACTAGTCTCAGTAGCCAGCAAACCACTTCCCGTCAGGAATCCTGGCTGGGCTGCTGATGGCCCCTCCTAGCCATCTCTCACGTGACCATGCCCTGCAGAGCCCATGGGTGTCCAGTGAGGGTAAGTGTGGGGGCTGCAGTGGTTCTTCCTAGCAGGGAGCCGTGTGATAGGAATTAGGGCTGGGTTTCCCCTCTGGTAATCTGAGCTCTTGACTTCGGCAGTGTTTCCTCATTGCCAAGGGAACTGCATCCACACTGGGCCACTCAGGCCCCAGACATTCCCCACCAGGTCAGAGCCACTTACCACACGTTTAGGTATGATCAGAGGCCATGGGGACCAAGAGTACATGACCTTGGGATGCCCCCTGCTCCCACCTCCTGGCCCTCCCAGCTGTCTGGGCTGAGCTTGACGGTGCAGGAGCAAACAGAGGCTGAAACACCCCGTGGCAGCCTAGCCTTCAGCTTCCAGGCCTGCTCCTTGCTCTCTCATCTCTGCCCATCAACTGGCTAAGGCTGCTTCCTCCTGGTTAGAACAGGAATAAAGTCTTCCTGGGGGTGTCATTAGAAAATATAAATAAAGGGCCTCCCTGGTGGCGCAGCGGTTGAGCGCTAGGTTGCGAAGCTGCCCGCAGCCTCTGCGGCGCCGGTTCGATCCCCGGCTGCTCCCCAGCCACCGGAGGAGGGTCCCACGTGGTGCGCAGACCTCTCCTGCCGCCCGCTGCTCCCCTCAGCAGTGTCCTTCGGTCCTTCTGCCTGCTCTGCTCCCCGCTCTGGCTCTGGTGAATTCTCTCACCCTCCCGCGCTTCTGACTGTACCCAGTGCATGTATAAATAAATAAATCTTTAAAAAAAAGAAAAATATAAATAAAAAACGTGAATCATACCAGTAACCCTGTTGACACACCTGTGCCCACAGTCATATCTCTGTAAGAATATTTTATTATCTTCCTTGGTTGGAGAGGACAGTGTGAGTCAATCAGTGGCCCTCTCTTGCTCCTGCTGTATTCTCTCAGGAGCAGTGGTCTGCCCAGAAGAGGGGCAGATGCAGATACCTGTCCCCCATATCTACCATCTCTGTGTGGGGCCCCCACATACTCTTCCTCCACTTAGCAAAATCTTACACAGGGAACCGGGCTAGGTGTCCCTGTTCTCAGCCCCTCACACAACAGCCCCATAACCCAGGGCCTCCGTTGTGTTCTAAGGTTCATCGTTCATTCATCTCACTGGGCTCTACTAAGTACCTGTGGACCAGGTGTCTGTGCCACGGGCATAATAGTGAGCAAAAATGACAGCTGGGTACATGCATGCATGTCATCTCAACCCTAGGTCAATTTCACTTGTGATTTATTGCTCCCGTTTTGGAGACATGCTGAGGCCTGAGAAATCATAGGCCTGAAACAGCAGAGCCAGACATAACCTCAGGGAGGGCTTCAAGTACCTAAACTTCACCACCTCTCTTTACTTCTGTGTCCTTAGACAGCAGCTGCTGGTCTAGAAAATTCCCGAAATTTCCCTCAGCACTAGCCCAGGATTCAGACAGTGTCCGTGCAGGCAGCCAGGAGCCAGGCATAGATGAGTCAAGCCTGACAAGGACCATCTGATATGCCAGCTGTGACATGAGCTTCATGTCCTTTGCCCACCGTGGCCCGGCTGCCAGGAGGGCCAGCTGAATGACTCAGTGACAGCTGTCTCCCCCATGACCCCCAACTCCCATTTGGACACAGACACCTTAGATAAACCAGGCTTTCAGTGAGGAGCTATACATGTGCTAAGTCCCCAGCTGGATGTAGTGGTTGGGAGGCTCCCTGGGGCTTACAGGGACCTGGCTCTTCAGCTTCTCTCTCTGGAGCACTCACCTTCATCTGTAGAAATGGGGAGCTGAGCGGGTGGAGGGGCTATGGTCACATTACCTAGGAGAATGTCTTAAATGAGCCTATTTTGTTGCTTTGTGTTTTTTGTTAATTTTTGGCCCAGATCCATTTTATTTGTTTTTTAGTTTTTGTTTATTTTTTTCTTCTAAGTCTTCATTTTTTACTTACCTTTCTGATTTTGTGCCTGTGCCTTCAACAATTTTTTGTTCCTTAAGAAGAACATTCCTGGGGCCTCCCTGGTGGCGCAGGGGTTAAAGACACAGCTCTATTAAGCTATAGCCAGCCACTGCAGCATGTATTTGATCCCCAGCCAGGGAGGTGACCCACATGGCACGGCAGACCTCTCGTGCCTCACCCGCAGCTCCCCTCAGTAGTGTGTTTCAGTCCATCTGCCTGTTCTGCTCCCCACTCTGTCCCTGGTGAATCCTCTCACCCCCCACACTCTGGCCTGTGCCCTAGTTCTTGTATGCATAAATAAATTAATTAAAAAAAAAAAAGAGCACGCTCGATCCTGGCAGACATATTGAGCACACCAGGAGCTAGCAGAGGCCTTGTAAATGTGTTTTCCTTTTAGATGTCTCATAAAAACTTTAGGCCTCACAGCATTAACTCCTCAAAGTCAGCCTGGGCACACGTCATGTAGGGGTTTTGGTGCTTTGAGTGTAAACGTTAGCAATCTATTAGGAGAGGTTCAGGACAGCCTGGTTCTGTTAGAGGCTGTGTTGTAGGATAGCCTGTGACAATATGTCAAACACAGGGCCATTTGGAGTGCCTCTGGACACTGTCCTCAAAAGAGCCCAGATTCATTTCCATCTCCGCGGAACAGTTGCCAAGTGACTGTCATTACTATCCTCACATGACACAAGGAGCAGAGACATGGGCTGAAACATCACCTCTGAGCTGGGGCAGTGGGACCTAGAATTCTGCTCTTGGTCTCTAGGTGGCAAAGCTACTCTCTTCAGGACTCGGGTTGGAGGTTGGAAGTAGGCCCTTCTAGGCAGGCAACAGCGCCCCCTGTCAGCTGAACAGTACCTGCCAAGCTGCTCAAGGTCCCCTTTAGTCCCTAGCTGAATGTCTTGGGGAGTATATTATTCTAGAAGTTCATTTCCTTACCTGCAAAATAGGAATAATAAAGAATAGCGATTACCACTGGATGGAGGATGAGCAATTAGGTAATATGTATATTGGCCCTTGGTCCAAGGCCCACTCTCAGGACAGGCTCAGTGTTGTCAACAGTGTTGTCAAGAATAGATGTGCTAAGTGCCCAGGCTCCCTGCTGACACCCCTGGCGTTCCCTGCACACCGTCGCATCTGAGCCTCAGCAGGGATGAAGTGGCAAGGCCAGGCTTTTTAATTATTCCATTTACCGCCTGTGACAGAAACGAGGCAGGGAAACCACAGCCATATACCCCACCCTCGCGGGAGGGTGAGGATTCACCAGAGACAGAACGGGGAACAGAACAGGCAGACTGACTGAAATACACTGCTGAGGGGGGGCAGCAGGCGAGACAGGAGAGGTCTGCTGCGCCATGAGGGACCCTCGCCGGCCAGCTGGGATCGAACCAGCACTGCAGAGGCTGGGGAAAGCTTCACAGCGCTGCGCTCAACCACCTGCGCCACCAGGGGAGGCCCTACTAGTGTATTTTTTTAAGGTTTTGGTATACTGCAACTTTTCAAAATCAGACTAACTGGAAAAAACTAAAAAAGTGAACTACACTCGGGCCTCCCCTGGTGGCGCAGTGGTTGAGCACTGGGCTGTGAAGCTGCCAGCAGCCTCTGCAGTGCCGGTTCTATCCCCGGCCACGGTTGAGGGTCCCACATGGCGCGACAGACCTCTCCTGCTGTGCCCACTGCTCCCCTCAGCAGTGTATGTCGTCGGTCTGCCTGTTCTGTTCCCCGCTCTGGCTCTGGTGAATTCTCTTACCCTCCCGCATTTCTGACTATAGCCAGTGCTTGTATAAATAAATAAATAAATCTTTAAAAAAAAAAAAAAAAGTGAACTACACTCATCAACCCAGCCTGTAGAGGTACTAACTGCCATCACTGCCCCCAAATTCCAAGTGACCCCGCCAAGAGGAAATACTCTTAGGAACACTAGGAAATTACATAAATTAAGGGTTTATTACAAAATGCAAAAATGTTAGTTTCTTATTGTCAGTGGTGCAAGAAAACAAGGCCCAGAGCCCTCTGCTCACTCCTCCCTGGGTGGGGCTGGGGGCTAACAGCCTCGCTCAGGAACGGGATGACAGGCACTGGTTCACCACCTCCAGCAGGTGGGTGTTCTCCAGGGCAGCAGCGACCCGCTCCTTATCCGCAAGCTGCTTGTTCACTGGTTGGGAAGGAAGGAAGGAATGGGGAAGGAGAATCAAAGCCAGGCTTCAGCCAATCTGCTGAGCCCCACCACTGAGCCTTTGCATATACACACCTGCGTACACACACACACACCCCTCCCTCCACCAATAAGGCCCTCTTGGCACCTCCTTCTCAAGCTTCAATCAGGCTACCCCAACCACCTGAGCCCACAACTATCCCACTTTCTTGGGTTCCCATTCCCTCCCCAACCCCCCCACCCCCACCCCCTGGCTGCTCATGTCTGCCTTCTGTACTATTGATACACCGGCAGACACACCCTGGTCTTGTGTATTTAGCAGAGGGAGAGAGCAGGAGTGGGGAACACAGTAAGCAAAGCAAACTTGAGTCAGGCCAAGGCTGTCACCTCAATGGGGAGTCGTCACCCACCCAGCACCTTCCACCTTGCCTTACTGACCACCATGCTGAGGGGGAAGCTCCAGGATCAATGCCTCAACACCAGCCCACGCTTACCTGCGTGTTCCGAAGCATGGGTCCCTGGCGTAATGTGAACATCCATCTGGGAGGGAGACAGGCGGGATCTGAGGACTCACCCAACTGTCTATCTCCTTTCTCCCCTCTCCCCTACCCACCACCTCCTTCTTCCTAATTATGCCTCTGGACTCTGGCCCTTCTGTGACACCTCAAACCCACCCGGAGGCAGTCAGTCTCTACCTAAAGGGGCCTATCTCTGCTCCCAACCCATCTACAGACCCTACATGCATCACACTCCTCATAACTTTTCTGCACTTTCCAACTCAGGTCTTTATTCTTGTTCTGTCCAGCTGGAAAGCTTCCTTCCAGATTCATCTCTGCTTGCTTGGATCCTTCCAGGCTCTAATTTCTGTGTTCATGCTCTCCATGTCCTCCTCGCCATGTTCCCACCTGCCCCACCCCTGGGGCTCAGTTCTAACTTATCCTGAAAAAACAGAAACAACAAATAAAAAACGAACGCACCTTGAACCGTTGGGGAAGGGATCGCAGAAGCTTCACTTTGATGGACAGGCCAATAAGGGTGGCCATGCTGCAGTGCGGGATGGTGGGTGTGAAGGCCACGGCCACCGTGCTCTCCGGGTCACTCACCTGATGGAGGGAGTGGGGGAGTCATGGCCTTTCCATCCCAGAGACTCTTTTCTTAGTTACTTCAGGCAAGTCATCTAACCCCTACACCCCTCCCTGTGCGCATCCATAAAAAGGGCACAATAATCCCCCCCTTTCAAAGACTCCCGAGGAGCTCACGAGCTGAGAGAACATCCGTCCCTAGGGGCACAGCTGGGCCTTCCTGACTCTTTCAACCAAGTCTCCCCTATCAGGTGCTGGGACCGACTCACCTGAACGCGGACTTGCTCGACGACGTTCAATTCTTCGAGTGTCAGCGGGTGCTCCGGGTCATTGATGGAGCGAATCAAATGTGGCAAGTGAAGGAACAGACTCTGCGCCTCAGCCCGCTCGGAACCCTGCGGCCGGGTCGCCCAGCCGCCCGCGGCTCCCCGCCGGCCGGCCCGCACCCCCTCCCAGCGGCCGCGCCCCCCGCCCGCGCCCGGCAGCGGCGGATATCGAAGATCTCGCGCGCGTCGATGCTGTCGGGGACCTGCTCGTCCTCCTCGCCCGCGGTCACCGGCCGCTCCCCAGAGCGCGCGTAGATGAGGGGGTTGGCGTTCTCCAAGGGGCCGCCCCCCACCCCGCCGCCGCCCACCATGGCGCAGCCCCGGCGCCCGCGGTCAGCGCGCACTTCCGCCCCCACCGGGCACTTCCGCGGGGGGCGGGGCGGGGCGACGGCGGCGCGCGAGGGACACGCCGCCTCGCTTCGCCGTCTTCCCGCGGGGCTGGGGCGCCGGGCGGGCTGCGCGTGTCGGCCCCGCGCCTGGGAAACGCCGGCCGCTGCCGCGAAGGCGCGACGGCGGATCCCGGCCGAGCTGGGTCGGGTGCAGGCGGCGGGGGCCAGCGATGAAGTGGCCTGAGGCCGAGCGGTCCGCGGCGTCTGGGGCTCCGGGACGCGCCCGCCTTCCCCTCCGCGCCCTGCCCGGCCCCAGCGCGCCGACGTGCGGGCTCTTTTTTTTTTTTTTTTAAGATTGATTGATTGATTGATTGATTGATTGATTTTACACTGAAATACACTGCTGAGGGGAGCAGTGGGCGGGAGAGACAGGAGAGGTCTGCCGCGCCATGTGGGACCCTCGCCGGCCGGGGGATCGAACCCGCGCTGCAGAGGCCGCGGACAGCTTCGCAGCGCGGCGCTCAACCGCTGCGCCCCCGGGGAGGCCCTGCAGGCTCTTTTTAAATGCCTGTCACGTGGGTGAAAGACCTTGAACTCGATCTTGACGGGGAGCGAGAGAGGCAAAGTCGCGGACAGGGCGCCGAGTGGCCTTAAACAAGTGCCCGCACCGCGTCTGCGCCTCAGGAGGGCCGGGGCCGGGGCGAGGGGTCGTGGAGACGCTCGGCGAGGGCCTGTCAGGGGATGGAGGGTCTGAAAGGCGGCCCGGGAGACGGCCCTGGACGCAAGGCGGAGCTTTCAGGATAAAGGACGGTCATCCTGCCGTTCCCCGCAGCTTTTTTTTTTTTTTAGCTTTTTAAAAAAAAATTGTAAAGATTTATTTATTTATGCATACAAGAGCTGGGGTGCAGGCCACAGATGCGGGGGGAGGGGGAGAGGATTCACCAGAGACAGAGTGGGGAACAGAACACGCAGACTGACTGAAACACACTGCTGAGGGGAGCAGCGGGGAGACGGGAGAGGTCTGCCGCGCCGTGTGGGTAGCTCCCTGCCTGGGGATCGAACTCGTGCTGCAGAGGCTGCGGATGGCTTCACAGTGCGGTGCTTAACCCCCTGCGCCACCAGGGAGGACCCCGTTTCCTGCAGCTTTAACGCAGTTTGTTCCCATTTCACTCTCAGTGGGAACCTCACGGTGCTGGCCAAGGAAGTTCTCCAGGGCGCCCCAACCACAGTTCATGTCTCCCCCTTTGGACCCCCTGACACGCTCTTCGGGGCCCGCGGCTGTGCAGTGGCCGCAGTGGGTCCAGATCTGGGGAGGGGGTTCTCACTGCCCGGAGGGCTGCCAGGCCCCGCGGCGCCTTCGGAGGGGCCAGGACAGCGGCGCCTCCCCGCCAGCGCCCGCCCGGCGGTGCCCTGTGTGTGGTTCTGCTGTCCTGACAGAACTCACCTTCCCCGGGCCAACCCCGCCCTCCCCGCTTACTCCCTGCCCAGTTCAAACTCCGGCCCCGAGCGCGGCGCTCCCTGAGAAGCTGCGCAGTCCCGGGGGCCTCTCGGGGACGAGCCTCAGCCCGGCGGGGGTGCAGGGACGGCCGTGCAGCCCACCATGCGGCCGGACAGACTCCACGCGCGCCTGTGTGTCGCGGCCTGTGGGCTGCTGCTTCTCCTCGCCCAGGGCCAGGGTGAGGCTGCGGTGGGAGTGGGGGCACCCTGGGGTGAATGAAGGGGGCGGCCGAGAGGAGGGTGGGACTTGCCAAAGTCTGCACAAGGGGAACCTGAGGCTGTGGGAGCGCAGGCGGCAGGGAGGTGGGAGCCGGGGGAGCAAGGGCCACAGAGCCGGGCGCGGGCCTTGGCGGCCGCTGGGGGCTGGAGCGCCAGGGCTGGAGCTGTGCTGAAGCCGCCGAACACTGAGGGGGGCGCGCCAGGAGGGACCCCGAGGAGCGTTCAGGTGGAGGGACTTGGCGACTTTTATCCTGCTTAGAAAAATTCATCGGATTAAGTGTAAAGATGGAAGCAGGTTTATCCAGTGATCAGTGATGAAGCAGCACTCCCTCAGCAGGCAGAGGGGCGCCGCAGAGCTGTACAGAATGGAAGGAGTTTATAGACTGGAAGGGACGAGGGGAAAGAGGATGGGCTGGGTGAGGCCAGGTCGCCCTCCCCGGAGGGCGGAGGGCGGTGCGGTGGAGGGCAGAGGTCTTGAAGGGGAAATCTGGACAGACTGGTTACTATATATCTGGGAGAGGCTGAAACTGCATTTCCATTCACTGTTAGGTATTAACACACATGGGCTTAGCACAAGCGACTCCACTTGGGCCCAGGGCAGCTTTTTCTTAGCGCCCTTCCTCGGCAGTGTGCGGAAGGCCCCGGGGCCCTTGCTGGTTCCTATGGAGGAGCCAGGAACCAGCCATGTGTGTGGTGTAGGTGACATTGCTGGTGGGTAACAATATCTTTGCCATTTGGCTCCGATTATTGTGCCCTGGGCGAGGGGGGAGGGCACCCTGGCACCCTTGGAGTCTCTCTTCAAAGGAGCCCTAGGCAAGGTTACTAGACGTGACTTCCCCCAACTACCACATCCTAAAGCCTGCAGAGACGCTGTCGTGTCCTTCTCACCTGTGCACCCGCCCCAGGCAAGGGCAGGTCTTGGCTTCCAGGGCAAAGGTGAACCTGATTTGTGCCAACTCTGGGTTGGTCTTCCTGGCCCTTTCAGTAACAGAAGCCGTATGGGCACGGTGCCTGCCCAGGGTGCCCACAGCACCTATGATCCCTCTCCCAGTGTATAATCTTCTCCCTCACAGAGGCCTTCCTTGTGTGACCTACCGTCCTCTCCTTTCTCAGTCAAACTGGCCAGGAGACGTCCACGCTTGTTCCTCCCCCATGGCCCATCCCACAGCGTTTCCACCTTACCCACCACCGACCAGACTTTGGTTCTCAGGACCCTCCAGCATGACCATCTGCTAGACCTCAATGATCCCTCCCTTTCAAAATGTTAGAATTTGGGGGCCTCCCTGGTGGTGCAGGGGCTAAAGATAGTGCTATCAAACTATTGCCAGACACTGCAGCACGAGTTTGATCCCCAGCCAGGGAGCTACCCACATGGTGCAGCAGACCTCTCCTGTCTCCCCGCTGCTCCCCTCAGCAGTGTATTTCAGTCAGTCTGCCTGTTTTGCTCCCCACTCTGTCTCTGATGAATCCTCTCACCCCTGGCACCTCTGGCCTGTACCCCAGTTCTTGTATGCATAAATAAATAAATCTTAAAAAAAAAAAGTTAGGATTTTGGATTGGACCCAGTGCTCATCTGTGTACAAGAGGGCGCAGGTGATAGGCCTGACCCTTTCCTGCCCCACCCAGTCCTGGCTTCTCCACAGGAACCAGCAACGGCCCGGGCCTTCTGCACACTGCCCAGGAATTTACCCAAGAATGACATTTTCCCACATCCTTCACTTTCATCTCAATGGTCACAAACTCCACCCGGCCCCCCACTTCTGATACTCAGCTTTTCCGCTGCCTGACACGGGGGTGACTCCCCACACCTTACATGGTAGAGCTTCTTCATGCCGTTTGATGGAAGGGATCCTCTTCAAGGAGAAAGCTTCCTTAACGCAAATGTTTCTGCTCCAGGACATTTCAGAGGCTTTTCTCTTTTGCTATTGCAAACATGAGGAATCGGAGACCAGTGACCCTGGCAAATTACACGGACAGCCGTCACGTCCTGCAAGGAACTGCATGTGGACAGCACGGTGCTGGAGAGAAGGCTGGGCCCTTGGGAAAGCCTTGCTTGATTGCTCTACCCATGGAGAAGCCCGTGAACAGAGGCTGACTCTGGCCTCCCCCACACCGGGTGGCCTCCAGCATGTTGGTCCTTGTCGGTCAGATAGGTGTACAGACTTTCCCTGAGGCTGTGTGGGTAATTTTGTTTTGTGGTTTTTGTTTTGTTTTACTTTTTGTTATGGAACCAGGCTCAGACCTGCCAAATTCTGCAAGCGCAGAACCTGAGTCTGCAGGAGGGAAGCTGCCAGGGAGGCGGAGCCAGTGGTGATAGCCTGACTGAATACCTCCCTGTAGCCCAAGGCACAGAGGTCAGAGCTGCCTGAGGCCACACAGCGCCCAAAGGCTCCCAGTTTGATGGAGAATAATTTAATAAACCCAATATGTCCATCATCAGCTGTCAACAATTATCCAATCTAATAGGGCAACCTACTTTTATCTAGACTTTTCTCCCTTGCACCATTATTTGAAACAAATCCCAAACATCGTATCATCTGTATATTTTTCAGCATGTTCTACTGAAGAAAAGAAAGACAACAGCAGCACACTTTTGTATTATAATCAACTATTAGGTGAAATGTTCTTATCTCCTATTATCTCATAAATGACATTTATAGGGTTTTTCTTTGAAATCAGGATTCAAATAAGGTCCATACTTTGAAATTTGGTCTATATGGTTCTTATTTATTTATGGATATTTATATATATTTTACATTATTGCTCTTTTTTTTTTTTAAAGATTTATTTATTTATTTATACAAGCACTGGGTACAGTCAGAAGTGCGGGAGGGTGAGAGAATTCACCAGAGCCAGAGGGGAGAACAGAACAGGCAGAGTGACGAAGTACACTGCTGAGGGGAGCAGCAGGCGGCAGGAGGGGTCTGAGTGCCATGTGGGACCCTCGCCCGGTGGCCGGGGATCGAACCAGCATTGCAGAGGCTGCGGGCAGCTTCGCAACCCAGCGCTCAACCGCTGCGCCACCAGGGAGGCTCTCATTGCTCATTTTTAAACAATATTTGCTCCCCCCCCACCCCCGGGTGTAGTCCTCATAGAATTTCCTTCCCCAATGCACCCAGGCACCATCACTACGGTCCCCTGTACTCCTCCCAATCCCTCTCCCTCCTCCTTCCCTGCAGGATGTCTCTGGTTTATAATTGTCTGTTTTTGTTTTGTTGTGTTGTGTTTTACATTCTCATCATTTTTTCCCCCCGATGTCTTATTTGGTTGCCTATATTCCTCCTATAAGTGAAACTGTTAGGGGGAAGGATGTCCTGAGCTAATCCCATGCAGGCTTTGTGGACTCCACCCCCACTGCAGACCAAAGCCATCAGGACATTGGGAAAGTCCCGTCACCACCCAAGGGAAGGTGGCTGGGACCTGAGGGTGGAGTTAAGCAGCCAGGTTGGGTATAAAAACCAGACACGCGGGCCTTGGGGGGCTTGCTGTCTCTCGCCTCCTGGCTTCCTGGCTCCTGGCTCACGAGCGCCATTTGGGATTACAGATCGGTGGATCGTGTAGGACCCATTTAAAACTTTGTCTCCCACTTTTCTCCCTGAGCTGTATATTTCCTCACTTGCCCTTCCCTTGTAAATAAACCTTTCATTAACCTCTCGCATGCGCCCGCAGTAGAGCATTGATAAGTCCTTTTAAGCGCGCGGGTGAGGACCCACAGGCAGGCACCCCTGTTTTGTATCGGGGCTGCCCTATAACAAACCATCTGATATTTTTCTTTTTCCTTCTGACTTATTTCACTGAGCATAATTCCTTCTAGCTCCATCCATGTTGCTGCAAATGGCATGAGTTTATCTTTTTTGATTGCTGAGTAGTATTCCATTGTGTATATCTGCCGATGTGGTTCTTTTTTTAATAACAGCTTTGAGATGTAATTCACACGGCATTCCATTCACCCGCTTGAGGTGTACAAGTCAATGGTTTTAACATGGCCAAGAGTTTACTTCATCATTCCCCCTTCACCGCAGCCTGAGCAGATGGGTTGTTTTCTGTGTCTTTGGATATGCCAGTTCAGGCCACTTCCGATAAATGAAATCGTTCCAAGAAAGAAAAGCTTCTTTCACAAAGCATCTTTTCACGGTTCATCCATGTTGCAGCATGTGTCAGAATTTTTCATAGCTGATTAATATATTCTATGTTTAGCTAGGACACATTATTTTTTTAAAGATTTGTTTATTTATGCATACAAGACCTGAGGTATAGGCCAGAGATGCTGAGGGGGAGGGGCGGTGAGAGACTTCAAGAGAAACAGAGTGGGGAACAGAACAGGCAGACTGACTGAAACACACTGCTGAGGGGAGCAGCGGGCGAGACAGGAAAGGTCTGCTGAGCCATGTGGGTGGCTCCCTGGCTGGGGATCAAACTCAGGCTGCAGCGGCTACAGATAGCTTCATAGGTTGTGTCTTAACCTCTTGTGCCACTAGGGAGGCCCTGGATGCATTATTGACCCACTTGCCAGTTGATGGACATTTGGATTGTTTCCACTTCCTGGCTGCTAGGAACCCACATTGAACATTCATGTACAAGTTTTTGTGTGGACACATGTTTTTAATTCTCTTGGGATATACCTGCCATTGGAACTGCTGGGTCATAGGGTAACTAGAAGAACTGCTAAATTATTTTCCAAACCACCCACACCATTTTATCTTCTCACCAGCAATGTAAAGGCTCCGATTTTTCTACATCCTCGCCAACATTTGTCATTATCTGTCTTTTTGATGTTTTGCATTATTCCTCTGCCTCTCTTTTATCTTCCTTGTGAAGAGGATAACTAGTTTATTTGTTGTGTTGAAAAAAACAGTTTATTCTAGAGGGGATCCTAGAGTTTGGGTTTTGCACATGGCATTCCTGTAGTGTCTTTTTAACTTTTTTCAGTCCCCTGAATGCCTGTAAATTTGTATTTATATTCTCAAGGCTAGATCAGATTCAGGTTTTGGATTTCACTTTGTTTTGGCAAGTCCACTTCCTGCGTGGTTCTGTGGGACGGCCATGGATGACTGGCTTGCTTTCTGTGACAAGATAAGTTGTTGTCAGCATAGCCTTTGGTGTGCTTTTTTCTTTGAAATTCTTTTCTTTTATTAAAGATTTTACTTATTTATTTTTGTATAGAACTGGGGCCTAGGCCAGAGGTGCTGGGGGTGAGAGGATTCCCCAGAGACAGAGTGGGGAGCAGAACAGGCAGATCTACTGAAACACACTGCTGAGGGGAGCAGCGGGTAAGACAGGAGAGGTCTGCTGCGCCATATGTGGGTCAGCTCCCTCAAACTCAGGTCCATGAGGTGGGCCTTTATGGTGATAGTGTTGCGACTTAACCCTTGGGCCACCAGGGAGGCCCAGTGTGCCTTTTTGTTAGTATGAGTGAGGTGAATACCCCTTCACTTGCTGAAGATCCATGTATTTGTATTCCTTCTTCTGTGTGAACATGTTCTCTGACCATTTCGTATTTTGCTAAATAGTTGACAATGCTTAATTCCTTTGTTGAAATTCCTTACTAAAAATATTATCTCTCTCCGATGACTTTCAGTCACTTCCTTCCTCCCTGGCTCCCACAGCAGGGTAGGCAGCACTTTTTACATTTCTCTTGTAGTTCTTCTCATCACATCACTCTTTGTTTGAAGGAGACTTTCTTTGCGACCTTTCTGGTCACCACATCTCTCTCACTGTCTGGTGACCTGGCACATGGTCAGTGGAAATGACACTCTCACCTGTTGGACTCACGTGACCAATTGTTTGACTCTTGGCATCAAACTCCAAGGAACCTCTGTGTGGTGGAAAAGCCCAGGGCTGGACCCAGTGAAGGCACTGGTATGGGGGGAGGTGAGGACAGAGTGACAGGCAGGAAATTTGTGAAGCAGGGGTCCCTTGCGCAGAACCGAAGATGAGGAAATAGGGAACCACATCAGGACTCTGGGAGGGCAGCTGATTGGGTGGACCCACCCCTGATATCCATTCTTGTCCCCAGGCCAGGACGCCTCCAGCCCCATCCGGAACACGCACACAGGGCAGGTGCGGGGAAGCCTCGTCCACGTGGAGGGCACCGATGTGAGGGCCCACACCTTCCTGGGAATTCCTTTTGCCAAGCCACCTCTAGGGCAGCTGCGATTTGCACCCCCCGAGCCCCCCGAGTCTTGGAGTGGTGTCAAGGATGGGACCTCCTACCCAGCCGTGTAAGCAGGGGGTTCTGGGAACTTCAAGCCCCGGGGAAGAGGGTGCTTTGAGGCCTGGGCCAGGTTGTCACAATTTCATTTAATCCCGCCACACCCAGCTTTCCCTCTGAGGTTGGTGGATTCCCACATGCATTTTCCCAGTGAACATATTGGGGCTCACAGGCAAAGTGAACTTCCCCAGGATCAGAGCTTGGCACTCGAAGGGCATTAGCTCCATCCACGTCCTGAAGGGATGCGCAGAGACCCACGTCTCCCCAGCTTCTAGTTATGCCAAGCGTTCTCCGCCAGCAGAGGCGGGTGTCCCTGCCAGAGGTTCTGTTTGGCTCCATGAATTTTGTAAGCGCCCCTGACTCTACAGATCCCTGAGGGATGGGGGAATCCCCCTGCCCCACGGTTACTGTGCCAACCGACAGGACCAGGTGCCGTCGGCCAAGGGCATGAGTATGTTCTTACAACTAGAGGCTGCGGGGTGATGAGATTCTCTGAAAGTTTCTGGATTTGGAATGAGGGGCTCCCCCCACCCTTCTCATGCAGCATCAACATACATTCATTCAGGGAGCTTATGTACATGAACTCCCACCTGGGTACAGGTATGGTGGTGAATGGCAACATGTGCAACCAGTGGTTCTCTACGAGAACCCCAAAAGTCAAGTTTTCCCAGTCCCAGGAAAATTGGTATTGAAGGTCCTCACAGCCTTGAGACCTCTCTGAAGACTGGGTTCCACCCCAGCTTCCCCAAAGCCTGAAACCTGGTGAGGAGGGCCTTCAGGGAAGGACCAAGTATGAGCAGGTCTCAGGGACAGGGGTACTAAGGGGGACTGGGAACAAGTGAGCCCAGGATCTGATCTTGGCCACGGCGAGGCCCCATGGTGACCGCCCACCCCGATTACTAGATGTCTGCAGAACTCCGATGCAATGAATGGAATGGCTGTGAAAATCCTGAATCTGACTCTGCCTGTCACCACCATGTCTGAAGACTGCCTGTACCTCAACATCCATACACCTGCCCATGCCCACGAGGGCTCCAACCTGCCTGTGAGTGCCAGGTCACAGCCCGCAGGGGTTGGGAGGACATTTGCTCTGTAAGCAGATGAGAAATGACAAGATCAACCTGGGCCTTGCTGCAGCGTGGAGCCTGTCGACAAGCCTCTCGTGAACAGCGCTTCTTTCCGAGGGCGGGCAGCTGACTCCTGCGCACGGGACCCTGGCGGCTTGCAGGGGCCCAGGACACACCCAGCCAAGTCATGCAAGCCCAGGAGACCTGCTCAGGTGTCAGAGGGCTGCACTTGGAGGTGGCTAGAGACCCCTCCGCGGATTACCTGTTGGAACAATAAGAATGAAGGCTACTCTTGATTCATTTGCCTATGGGATGTCAGGGAGATACCCCTTTTCTTTCCACCCCAGAGAGGATTCCGGGAGAAACAGAGCGAGGCTTTGGTCCACGGGGCAGACCTCCAGGATGGGACACCTGGTTTTCTTGACAGGCCTTGCGCCACCCTTGGCCTAGGTTATAAAAGCACCACCCTCTTTTGCTAGGTTGTTAGGAAGACAGAGTCAAAAAGGTGATTAGTCCAAGTAGCCCCCCAGGGGTGTTTGGGCTGGGTGGGAACCATGTAATTTCTGCCTCGGTTTCCCTAGGTGATGGTGTGGATCCATGGTGGGGCGCTGGTGATGGGCATGGCCTCCATTTACGACGGCTCTGCATTGGCAGCCTTTGAGGACGTGGTGGTGGTTGTGATCCAGTACCGCCTGGGTGTGCTGGGCTTCTTCAGGTGAGACTGGGGTCCGAGCTGGGCAACCTGGGCTGAGTGGAGCCAGAACAGTCTCGTGATCTCCCTCCCTGCCACTTCTCAGCACTGGCGACAAGCACGCAACTGGCAACTGGGGCTACCTAGACCAAGTGGCCGCGCTCCGCTGGGTCCAGCAGAATATTGCCTACTTCGGAGGTAACCCTGGCCGCGTCACCATATTTGGCGAGTCCGCAGGCGGCACAAGTGTGTCCTCGCACGTCGTGTCCCCCATATCCCAAGGACTCTTCCACGGCGCCATCATGGAGAGTGGTGTGGCCCTGCTGCCTGGCCTCATTGCCAGCTCCTCTGACGTGGTCTCCACAGTGAGTGCCCAACCTGGGAAATCCCAGACCTGCGGCTTCTCCCTTGCTTCTCAGTTCAGACTCTATTGTTCTATCAGTTAAATGGGGATAACAAGACTCCCCTGCCATAGGAGCATCTTGGAAACTACCACCTGTCCGGGGATGGTGAGGGGTTCCAGGGTCAGAACACATAGGCCTCCACCACTGCAGAGGCCGAGCATGTTCTGTGATGTGCAGAGCTGCTGCCCTGGGGCTCTCCACCATCCAGGCAGGTGGGTGACACCACTGGCTGAGACTTCTGATCATCAGGGAGGGTGGAACACTCAAAACTGCAGGAATCCACTTATGAGACTGAGATTTGGGGTGCACCTGCTACCCAGCTGTGGTCTTGGGCAAACCCTTTTCCCTTTGACTCAGGAAAAGCAATGAGCCAGCCCCTGCCTGGTCTCTTTACAGATGGTGACTGACCGGTCTGGCTGTGGCCAGGTGGACTCGAAGGGCCTGGTAGACTGCCTGCGGGGCAAGAGTGAAGAGGAAATGCTGGCCATCAATGAGGTGGGACTGAATGGACTCGGGTATGGAGGGAGGGGGCCGAGAGGTGTGGTTCAGGCAAGGCTGGTTGCCCTTCACACCCCCCAGGGTGACTTACTCCATCTCCACGCCTCGGTGTCCAGGGGAGGGTGCACGTACCCAGGGATGAGCCGGGAAGGGGCAGAAGGCGCACAAAGGGCACCAGAAGAGTCTTGGACTGATCTCATGTGCCCCCTCAGCCCTTCAAGATCATCCCCGGTGTGGTGGATGGGACCTTCCTGCCCAGGCACCCCCAGGAGCTGCTGACCTTTGCCGACTTTCAGCCCGTCCCCAGTATCATTGGCGTCAACAATGATGAGTATGGTTGGCTCATCCCCATGGTGAGTCCTAGCCCCAAACACCCATGGAGGGAGAGCCCATCCTATGTGTGTGTGTGGGGGGGCACTTTGCAGCTCCAGGCCCCAACTTGAGACACCCTCAACCTGCAGAGCATGAACATCTCTGACACCCAGAGGGAAATGGACAGAGAGACCATGAAGACTATTCTGCAGGAAACGTCAGCAGCGCTGGTGAGGCTCCAGGCACCCGCCCACTGGACCGGGCCCCTACCCCCTCCCAAGGCAGGGGACACCCAACTCTGAGAGACCCTGTCCGTGCAGCACCTCCCGAGCAAAGACTGGGGTGTGTGTGTTTGCGGATGCTTGGTCCCTGCCCCCCACTGCCTGTCCCATCCCAGAACCCAGCTCTCCAACCGTGACCCGCTGCCTGCCTCCCTGCCTAACCTGACTCTCCCTGACCCGCCCGGAGCAGAGTTTGCCGTCTGAGTTTGGTCACCTGCTGTTGGAGGAGTACATGGGTGACAGCACAGACCCCCAAACCCTCCGAGCCCAGTTCCATGAGATGATGGGGGACTCCATCTTCGTGATCCCTGCACTCCAAGTAGCCAATTTTCAGCGTGAGTATATCTATAACGAGGGCCAACTGGCAAAGGGGCAGCTCGGGCTGCAGACGCTGGGTGGCGCCTGTCAGTGTCCAGGCCCTCTGGGCGATACACCTGTTGGTAGGTGTCCAGGTCCTTACCCTGGAAGCCAGGTACATGATGTCTCACCTGGGTAAATCCTCACAGCTAGTCTAAGAGGCAGACGCTTTCCCCATTCCACAGAGGAGGACACAGGCTCAGTCACCTTCAGGGATGGCCCAAGGCCAAGAGCTAGGAAGTTCCAAGGCTGTGATTTGAACCCAGGCCCTTCCCACTGCCCTTGCTTCAGCCCAGGGCTCTCTTACCCCCGTCAGATTCTGTCTGCTTTGGACCTAGCTATCCCGACACCATGGGTGAGGCAAGAAAGCTCCGGGTGAGAGGCCACCCCCTCATGATGCCCACCCCACCCCCGTAGGTTCCCACGCCCCTGTGTATTTCTACGAGTTCCAGCACCGGCCCAGCTTCTTCAAGGACATCAAGCCACCCCACGTGAAGGCGGACCATGCCGATGAAATCACTTTTGTCTTCAGAAGCTCTGCCTTGATCAAAGACTGTGAGTTCCTAGGCGGGTCTCTCGAAGGCTCCTTGTTCCCCGGATGTGGGGCGACACCGTGGCCGAGTCCCTGAGCGAGGGTGACTGCCTTTAATGTGCAGATGAGGAAACCGGGGCCCTGAGAGGACTGGACTAGGTGTCCAGCTAGAAATGCCGAGCTAGAATCAGCGTCCAGGACTTTTTAGACTGGGACCTGTGCTGCCTCCAGTGCTCCCCTCCAAACCAGGGCGCCTGGCATGGACACAACAGGGAGTACTTCAAAGGCGTATCTGTGCCTTAAGGAACTTTGCAGTGTCAAAAGGTAGAAAGGGTGTTTTAGGCCAGGAAAGACCCCAGTGTCAGATCCCCTGGAGTGTGGGATGAGCCTCCTAAGCTGGGTGCAGAGCCGGGAGGAACAGGAAGAATCCAGGCCTAGGGAGGAGCCAGGGCAAAGTCCACCCCCATGGTCAATGTGGCGGGGGATGAGCTGTGTGCTGACCTGGGCTGGGCCCTGACCCGGACTCTTGTCCTCTGCTCTCTATAGTTAAAATCACTGAGGAGGAGGAGCTGTTGAGCAGGAAGATGATGAAGTACTGGGCCAACTTTGCTCGAACTGGGTGAGATATCACACCCCACCTCAACTCCCACGGGGGACCTCATTCCCACCTGGACTTCCCTCCGGCTGTGATGGCCTTATTAGCACACATGTGTCTTCGACTGCAAGTGGGTCCCTTCCCTAGTTCCAGGACCCACAGAGAGGGTGGGTCCATCTCCTAGTGACCTGGGGGGTGGGGGCATACGGGGGTGGGGGGAGTCAGTCTCCTTCTCAGCAGAAGGGACAAAACAACCAGGCTACCCTGCCCCCTAGTGGAGTTGACACTCTAGGGAGAGCTGGTTTCTCATTCTCCACGCCCACTGGGCAGGTTTGGCTGCCTTGCCTGATCCCAGTCAGGGTGCCCAGATTTGGGCTCCACAGGGCTCACAGCAACCCTCACAGTCCTGCTTGGGCCTTGTCTACAGGGATCCCAACGGCGAGGATCTGCCGCACTGGCCCGTGTATGACCAGGAGCAGCAATACATGCAGCTGAACTTGCAGCCTACAGCAAGTCGGGCCCTGAAGGCCAACAGGCTCCGGTTCTGGACGAAGACCCTACCCAAGAAGATCCAGGAGCTGACGCGTGCCAAGGAGAAGCACACAGAGCTGTAGTTTCCTGTGTCTGGTGGCGAGGGGGTGAGGAGGGTTCTCCCCAATGTGCCCCCACACACCCACCGAGGAGCCCTAAGTTTCCCTTCATGAACACAGCCATTTATCAATTATTTCACCCAGCCGTTAGCAAACATTTATGACCCACGCACTGCATGACCGAACCGCCAAGCCTGCCACGGGTCCTTTCTTGTTAAACACACTCAGTAACCCTCCCTCCCATACAGCCGTGGGTGGACAAACGCCAATGAAGTTCACCTTCCCCAACACCCCGGCTTCATCTCCACCTTCTCCCCAGCTTCTCTCCTCCAGGACCCCAGGCCTCCCCCACTTTGAAAGAGGGTACTTTGGGGAATGTTGTTTACACCTGGCTCTCAAACCCACATGTTCTCATATCTGTCAGTGGACAACTGAAAACCTGGACACGAGGAGCCCTGGAACGTCGAGGTTACCACCTCACCCACTGGGGTTGGCTACCACTGAGAATGTGCAAGGCCCTGTCCCCAGCTATTGTCACTCTAGATTAAATGTCATCTATCATTGACATTGAAACATGCACTCTCCCACCTCTGTTCCTCAGTGGCGACTGGCCCCATTTTTTGTAAGAAGCATGACTACATTTGTCCACAGGCCCTGGAGCCTGGGCCAGCTGTGACGTGACCAGAGAACCAGGCAAGTGACCAAGGAGACTTTGGACAAGACCTCACCTCACTGAGAGACTGTATCATTTGTCTCAAGTGGGAAGTTTCCTTGGTCATCTGCCTCCTGAAGTTTGCCTTTATTTTCAGTGACTCTACAGACACTGCAGGGCCTGCATTTCACATGACTGTAGCACAGGCGTGAAGACTTGGGATGTTTATCTTTGGATGTTTCCTAGAAGTAGTATTGAGGGAGGGCCTCCCTGGTGGCGCAGCGGTTGAGCGCTGGGTTGCAAAGCTGCCCGCAGCCTCTGTGGCGCCGGTTCGATCCCCGGCTGCTCCCTGGCCACCAGAGGAGGATCCCGCATGGCGCGCAGACCTCTCCTGCCGCCCGCTGTACTCCTCAGCAGTGTGTTTCGGTCCCTCTGCCTGCTCTGCTCCCCGCTCTGGCTCTGGTGAATTGTCTCACCCTCCCGTGCTTCTGACTGTACCCAGTGCTTGTATGTATAAATAAATAAATAAATAAATAAATAAATAAATAAAGTAGTAGTATTGATGGACAGGCAGTCCAGGAATACCTTGGAGAAGAGACTCTTGTCCCCTAAGTCCCTAGGGCCTCTCCATCCAGAGAGGTCACCTCTTACCTTTTGGAAGCCCTCTTGCCACCCTCCAGCCCCCCACTGCCTCCTCTGCTGAGAATTCCCTGACTCACTGGGAGATCACATGATTCCTTTTCCTACTTATCTAGACCGTTTTCCCTAAACTTTTTTTTCCCCAAAGTAACTTTCTCTTACACTTTATCTCAGCATGCAGAGGTACCAAATGGTCTCCCCTCTGCTTCCTTGTTCCACAAAGCATTTTGTCTCCATTGCTAAGAGATCGCATCACTCTTCTCAAAGACCCAGGCCTCTCCCTATGCCCCTCCCTCTGTCTAACTCATCCCACCTGGCACTAGATTTCCAGAGGGAACATCCCCTTTCTTTTCCTCCACTGCCTTTAAGTCCAACCTAAAGTTGGGTCGGAAAAGATGGAAATTCCCGCTTTGCCCACGCTGGGCACCAGATGGCAGACAAGGACAGTTTCTAGTCATGCATGTCTCCATGTTTTTCAGTCCTGCAGACACTGGGTAGACTTCCCAAATGCAGATTCCCACCAGTTTTTAGGACTAGTTTTAGCAGGACTAGTATATTTTAGTAGGACTCGTATATTTTAAGTTTTGTTGTAGAATAATTTATATAAAGTTAAATGCCCCTGTTTTAGGTGTACAGTTTGGCAGGTTTGGATCAACATATAGGACATACGACCACCACCACATCAAGTTTTAGAATGCTTCTATTGCTCCAGAAAGTTCCTTTGAGCTCCTTGGAAGTCAATCACTGTTCTGACCCTGGCCTCAGGAAACCACCAACTGCTTTCTGTTGCTACTCTTTGCCTTTTCTAGAATGTCATAGAAATAGAATCATGTTTTACTGACTTCTGTCACTTAATGAAAGTCAACTAGCAGTTCCTTTCATTGCTGGGTAGTTCTACAGATGATATGCCCCATTTTATCCATTCGTCAGTTGATGGACAATTGAGTGATTTCTATTTTTTGGCTATTTTAAATAAAGTTGCTACAAATATTTTCAGACAAGTCTGTGTGGATATGTGCTTGCATTTCTTTTGGTTAAATAGATAAGAGTGGAATTGGTGGAATATGAAGAATGCAGGTTTAACTTTTTTTTTTTAAAAGATTTATTTATTTATTCATACAAGCACTGGGTACAGTCAGAGCGTGGGAGGGTGACAGAATTCACCAGAGCCAGAGCGGGGAACAGAACAGGCAGATTGACGAAATACACTGCTGAGGGGAGCAGCGGGTGGCAGGAGAGGTCTGCGCACCATGTGGGACCCTTGCCTGGTGGCCAGGGATCAAACTGGCGCTGCAGAGGCTGTGGGCAGCTTCACAACCCAGCGCTCAACCGTTGCGCCACCGGGGAGGCCCCAGGTTTAACTTTTGAAGACAATGACAAAGTGTAAAGTCTTCCAAAGTGACTATGAAGGAAAAACTTAGTTTCTTTCTTTATTTAGGAAAAACCCAGGTCTCTCCTATGATGACTTTCCTGTGTGTGTCAACTTTATTTCCACGCAGAATAATTTACCTCTGACACTATGGTCACCAAATGTGTGGGGATTTTTTCCCCCCACCAAGCTGTTCTGTGGCATGAGTTGGGTGAACTCAATTGAACTCAATCCTGACTCCATCCAGAGACAGGGTCAGATCTCATCGGTTAAGGACCCAGTTCCATAGGCTGCCCACCCCCCCCCACACACACACACTTCAGATGCCAGTCTCAGTGCAGCTAGAGGTTGGACATTCTAATGACCCCTCTTTGGGTTCCATTAATTTGCTAGAGTTGCTCCCAGGACTGAGGGAAATATTTGTTTTCCATCTTATTAAAGGCGATAATAAAGAATACAGATGAACAGCCATGTGAAGAGATCCGTAGGGGGCCTCCCCAGTGGCGCAGGCGGTTGAATGCAGCACTGTGAAGCTATCTGCAACCTCTGCAGTGTCGGTTCGATCCCCACTGGCTGCGAAGCAACCCACGTGGCACAGCAGACCTCTCCTGGCTCCCCCGCTGCTCACCTCAGCAGTGTATTTCAGTCAGTCTGCCTGTTCTGTTCCCGGCTCTATCTCTAGTGAATCCTCTCACCCTCCCATACATCTGACCTGTACCCCAGTTCTTGTATAAATAAAATAAATCTTAAAAAAAAGAGAGAGATCTGTAGGGCAAGGCCTGGGAGGGTTCTGAGCACAAGAGTTTCTGTCCCCATGAAACTGCATATAGATGTGTTGCCCACCTGGAAGCTCCCCGAACTCCCTATAGTTGGGCTTTTATGGCGTCATCCTCATGTAGGCACGATCAATTATTAACTCTATTCTCAGCTGCTCTCCGCACTCTGGAGAAAGGGGTAGGGGCTGAAAATTCCAAGCTTCTGATGATGACTGCGTCTTTCTGGCACCCAGCCCCATCCAGGAGCCTGCCCAGAGTCACCTCATTGGGACAAAAGATGCTCTTGGTGCTCTTATCACTGGGGATTTTGCCAGGGCTTTAGGGGCCCTGTGTCGGGGTCAGGGTCAAAGACAAATGTTAGAACAAGAGATGCTCCCAGTGCTCTCATTGCTTAGGAAATTACAGGGCTTGAAGAGCTCTGCGTCAGGAAGCAGGGCGGAGACCACTATGTATTTTAGCTCAGGACTGGGTTTTTTTTTTTTGTGCATCCCCAGCGCCGTAGCGGTGTCCAGCCACTCCCTGTCCTCACGGACACTTGCTGCCAGCAGGCTGTTACATTTGATTCACTTTAATGGGTGTGTAGTGGTGTCTTACTGTGGTTGGTGTGTTTTCTCTCTCTCTCTCCCATGCATCATGTATACACATAAATGGATCAAGACTCTGGCAGGGGGGTACAGTCAGGGTTCTGGAAAGATAAAGACTGTGGACAGAGTTGCCCAGCAGCTGGATCCGGGGTAAAGGCAGAGAGCATGGTGCTGGGTCCCCCTGCATTCTGACCTGACTGCCTACCCATGGGGAACAGAGAGCCAACCCCAGGAGGAGCTTGGCCAGGGTGCATGGCCACCTCTGCATCCACAGACCACTCAAGAAAGCACAGCCTCAATTCAGCTGCGAACTTGATGACAATTCCCAGGGTGCTATCACGCCCTGGGGTTCCCCCTGAGTCCATGGGATGGACTTAGTCCCAAGGGACACTCCTTCAACATCCTCCAGGCAACAGGCCTGCACTCTCCCCTCCCTGCCTTGTGAGGCCAATATTGCCTCATTATGCCATGACAGAGGTTACATTTGAAGCAAACACTTTCTGATTTCCAGACTTTTTCTACAAAAATAGAATCCCATCAATCAAGAGTCAAGAGTACCTCCTTCCATAAAATTCTCCACACCTTCCTCTGCTTTTTCTTTTTTAGTAAACATTTATGTTGAAGCATAACATTTGCATAGGACCTATGTTTCCACATTTCCACAGAAGTGCACAAATGATAGGTGTACAACTTGATTAATTTTCGCCAAATGAAGATATCACTATGTAATCAGCAACTGGATCAAGAAAGATCATTAGCCCCTGAAATCAGATGTCACATGCTTTTATCAGTCACTTCTCCCAAAGGTAACTGCTATTCTGACTTACAATGTCATGGATTTGTTTTGCCTGCTAAATGGACTCAAACAGTCCAATTTACAGTCCTATAATAGCTAATAGCTATTGGTTGATCCAGTCCTATAATAGCTAATAGCTATCTGGTTGATCCAAACCCTTGCCAAAATATTGGTTTTATTAATTTTTCATATTAACTTTCCTCTTTTCCTTAACAGCTTTACTGAGATATCATTCACATCCCCAAAACACACCTGTGTAAAATGTACAATTAAATGAGTTGTGGTAATTTCACAATAGGTGTGACCATCACCACAGTCAATTTTAGAACTGTTTTGTCTAAGAAACACTGCATGCTTTAGCTATTACTCTGTATCCTAAGGTTTTCCCCCAACCTTAAAAACAACTGATCTATTTTACATCTCTTTTGGTTACCCTGTTCTGGACATTTCAAATTAACAGAATCATTTGTGACTGGCATCTTCCACTTAGCACATTTTTTTTTTTGAGTTTCACCTATGTTGTAGTAGATCAATACTTTATTCCTTTTGGAATATATTCCAAATAATATTATATTATTGCAAATGATATTCCATCATATGGATATACTACATTTGTTTTGCCCATTCATCAGATGAAGACATTTGAGTTGTTTCTGAGTAGCTATTATGAATAATGTTGCTATGAATATTTGTGTGCAACTTTTTGTGTGGACCTATATTTTCATTTCTCTTGGACATATGTAGTTATAGACATGGCTTTCCATGATACACACGCACCCCCGAGAAGTAAAATTGATATATGGTGACTTTTATGTTTAATCATCTGAGGAATGACCAAACCCTTTCCCAAAGTGCCTGCCTCATCTTACATTCCCACCAGAAGTCTATGAGCATTTAGATTTCTCCACTTCCTCAGCAACATTTATTATTTAGTATCTTATTTTATATTATTTATCATTTTTTCTGCATTTTTAAAAAGATTTATTTTATACAAGAACCGGGGTACAGGCCAGATGTGTGGGAGGGTGAGAGGATTCACCAGAGGCAGAGCGGGGAACAGAACAGGCAGACTGACGAAATACACTGCTGAGTGGAGCAGCGGGGGAGACAGGAGAGGTCTGCTGTGCCATGTGGGTCAGTGCCCTCGCTGGGGATCAAACTCATGCTGCAGTGGCTGCAGATTGCTTCATAGTGCTGAGACAACCCCTTGTGCCACCATCAAGTCCCCTACTTTAATTTCTTACAACAATGTTTTGTCATTTTCAGAGAATAAGTTTTGGATCTCTTTTGTTTGGGAGCCTCCAGGGCATGGAGAGACTCCAGGAGTTATCAAGTCAACAGCTGAGCTCAGACTGCTTTCTTGAGCAACCACCTGTGAACACAAAGGTGGCCAGACACATGACTGCCCTATCCAGGGAGGTTCTACCTGTATCTACCATCAGTGGCTTGGTCTTAGCTACATTCCTGTAGCCCAACCTCCTCTACCTCTACCTCTAGCCTACAGACCTCCTCAGTGCTGGCCATGAATGTATCCCTGCTGACTTGAGTCCCAGAAGGTTCCATCATGCTGCCATTGTGAGAGACATAGACTATCCTGGGTCTACAGCTGCTAACTTTGACATTCTTAGGAATACAGAACAGTAACTCCCCATTTGGTATATTCTGGTGAGGGTCCTCCCATAGACAAGCTGCCTGGGCTCAGGATCTCAGCTCAATGAGAAGACTCTTTTATGCTCACAGGTGTCCTTTCCTGTTCCCTGAGGATGGCAGGTTAAGTGAGAACCCTGAGAGGTACAGAAGTATGTGCTCTGCCTTTACCTCAAGTCCAGCTGCTGGGCTGGGCCTTGGCCTCACCCTGCAATAGGATCTTTAAGGATACCCCACCGCACTTATTAGACCAGTCTACAGATATCTAAAGTCAATAGTGGATCAGATGCCCCACCCCACAAAAACAAAACAGAGGTTGTTAGAGTCTCAGTAGAGGATGCACCTAGTATCCTCAGTAGAGGATGCATACCAGAACCTTAGATTGTTATCTCTAAGATAATGTTGCAGCAGGGGCACCTGGCTGACCAGAAGTCCGTGTGTCCCCAGTGAGCACTAAGTGGGGCCCGCATGAGTCCTAGGCACTTCATGGCCAGGCACAACTGCTTCCTATAGGAAACAGGTGAAGGGTTATTTCTTCCCCGGGGATAGGTGACAGGAGTGGAGCCACCAACTGACAAAACCATTTCTTAAGGCTCACAGACAGGCTAAGTTGCTGCACAGGTGGGTGGGGTAATCTATCCATTACTGGCCCCCAAGCCTGGCAGGTGGACTCCGTTTTGTCTGCCTCCTTCACAACACCTTTCCCTTCACCTTCACCCACACGTTTGGCCCTGACTTTAGTAATACATGCTCAGTATATGTAGCTAAATCAACTTTGTCACAACTTTGTCAAGCTGTCACCTCCCCCCATCTGGGCTCCATATTCCTATTGATGTAGCCACACACAGTGTAAATGAAAGGCCAGCCAAATGAGGCCATGAGGAGAGGAAGGTTGTTCAGAGAGAAGGACATGGTCCAGGTCAGATGCAACTGCTAGCAGCACCTCCTTCTTTAGTCTACCTCCCCTGTCCGCCCATCCCTGACACTTTAAACCCCATACAAAAGGTGAGCTCTCCACTAATGCCCCTTATGGAAAATATAGAAAGTACAGATGAGTTAAAGGGAAAAAAAAGAAAAAAGTTGTAATCACTAATGACCGCAACTCAGGGTAAACCAGTCACCATCCTGGCATTCATCTTCCCTGTCTATTACTTTAAACATCTTTGGAATAATTTGTTGAGTCCTTTCTACGGCTAATCTGGTCATAATCAATATACACATTTCAATTTCTGCCTTTTTTAAGTTACTAAACTTTTCCCAAGTACTCACCAGTGACTTACCCCTTTTAAAAGTTTCACTTACATTATCCACTCAACCCACCTTACACACCTAAGCGATAAATACTATCATTGTGCTGATTTTACAGATAAAGAAACTGAGGTTCAGAGAAGTGAAATGAGTTTCCCAAGGTCACACAGCTTGGAAGTGACAGTGCTGCCATTCAAACCCTGACTCAGAACCACTATCCAAGCCCTGTGCAGCTTAGTGTTATGGAATCTGTTCTTTTTAATGGTGCAGCATGCTCTCTTCTGCAGATGGAATACCCTTCTTTACCCATCTCCTCTGGTAACCTCAGGGGGGAGCTGTTAAGGCTATAGGACTCATGATGTGAACAACTTCTGTCTAATTTGAACAGTATCCCAGAACAAATTTCTCAGTCAACGGATGGAGCAGTTTTGAAGACTCCTACTCCAAGAAGTTCAAGAACTTAAGAACAGCCACAATGGTCTCTGACCACCACCAAAGGCACCTACTTTGCTGACGTGAAGGTCTCACAGGGAGGGAACACCGAAGTGTCAACCAAGACCCCAGGATGCATTGGACATGAAAGTCCCCCAGCCACATCAGCACATGGGAATAATGTAGAAAATGACCTGACAACCATATCCACAATTCCTGCATCTCTTAGCCTTGCAAGGCTTGAAAAAGACAGAGTAGAGGGGCCATGGGAGAGATTTTCTTTGGAGGAAGCTGTTGCTTCTCTGTGAATCCCCGCCCTATCTCCTTCAGCCCAAGGGGTTCATTTTCATGAGAGCATGCAAGAGGGTGACATGCTGCAAACCATGGGGAGACTCAGCTAACTGGACCTGCCTCCATCAAAGGAAAACACAGCAGCTTGTTACCAGGGTAGGAAGAGGGGGCTGCAGTGGGATGGGCAGGGAAAGGGGTGGTGCCCATGTGGACACTGCAGCATGGGGAGGGGGTCACCTAAAACCCATCTCAGGTCTTTTTTATGCCCCTTAAAGAGACACAGAGCCTGGGAAACCATGTTGGGCAGTCACTTTCCTTGAGACTGAGGGTTACAGGATGGGAACTGTGGGAGGAACTCCAAGTACAGGGCATCTCTGTCAAGAGAGAGGGCGAAAGCTTTAACTATCTGCCAGGCCTACAGAGCAAGAGGCCATGGCCAAGTAAGAACTACTGTTGCCCTAACTTTTCCCCTCCACTGAGGGCACCCTGCTGAGGAGGAGTCACAGACGCTCCATTGACTCCCTTTTATCAAAGGTGGGGCAGGACTCCAGGCTTTGATGGGAGGGAGGGAGGGAGGGAGGGGCACAGTCTTACCTTTGAAGTTGGAACTGCTCCTGGCTGGCTCCTGTAGCTCCAAACTTCAAACAGCATTTTCCTCTGTGTAGCCAATGCTTCATCCTTGACCTAGAATATTAGATCTTCTTAGGGAACCTTCCATCCCTAACCACCATCAGCCCTGCTGGGCTCACCCAGGTGCCCTTCTGGGTTCCCACGTCATGGCTACTTCCAGAGGTGCTGCCCCAATTGGACTGTGAGCTTGTGAGAGCAGCAACCACATAGGTATGGTTCTCCTGGGACTTCCTATACCTGGCATAGAGGCTGCCACTCTGTGAGGATCCTGGCTGAGCGAGCCAGCATGTGAGAGGACGGCTTGGGAGTGCCTCTGGAAGAGCAGGGGAGGGGGGGGGGAAGCCTAAGGAGGAAACCTGGGGGCTCAAATGCCCAGTTGTTCTGCTCCAACCTTAGCACCTATTATGTACTTAGAGCTTGACCTACATTAGCTCAACTTTGAGCCATAGCATAGATGAACAAACTGGGGAAGGATTGCGGGCTGGTCAGTTTAATGAAGGATCAATCCCATCTAGTGTGACCTATAACTCCAAGGCAGAGATGAGGCTGTGGGCTGCCCAGATGGCCAGTGATATTTTCTTCCACCCCAGCAGATGCCAACAGGCACTGAAGTAGGATAAAAGTGGGACTGCTAACTACCATCTGACATTTGCAGTCTGGACATCACCGCAGCCCGTAGCAGGAGCTGGCCAGCTGGAGCATGAGTTGGATTCTGTGCCTGAGCCTCCTCCTCTGCCTGATGGTGCAGACGGCCCTAGGTAAACCCCTACCCCTTCCTGAAGGTGTCAGGCAAGACGGACAGGCCTCCTGGGGCAGTGGGACAGGGGTTTAGACAACCTAGGCAGGTGGGGGGATGTTTCAAGGCATTAATCCATCCACCAGTTGGGAGTGCAGACACTTATATTGATATTTTAAATAAAATACATTACATAATTTATATAACTTTATAATTCATGATTTTACATTTAAATTTTTATTCAATTAATATTATATAAATTTGTCTATATTAGTACGTTCATACATACTAGTGTATGTGTGATATACATTATGTATATATACTATGTAACCCCCAACCAGATCAAGATCTAGAACATGTCAAGCTCCCCTCATGGCCTTTCCAGTCAATACCCCGAAATTAACCACCATTTTGGCCTCTGTAGTTGGCCTATATAAATGCTTTATACATGTTTGTAATTTGCGGGAAACATTGTTACATTATCACATGTCCCTTTAGTCTTTTTATTGCCTATTTGTACATAGCCATGATATTAGCAAGTATACGATTTTATTCTCTTACTTTTCTCACTTAAAATCTTATAAGCAGTTTATAACTTGACTTTATAGTTATATTTACTTTTGCTCCCAGATAAAAATAATGATTCCAGAGCTTGCTATGCTACCTATGACTCCTATTCATAAAGGTTTTTATTTTAAACTGTTTCCGACTATTTTCATAAGGGAAAGACCTGGAAGAGGGATTGCTGAGACAAAGCATGTGACTATATTGATTCACACATTTTGCCAAATTAGTTTCCCAGGGTATTGGATCAGTTTATTCTCCACCAACAGTATATGGGAATGTCCTTTTCACTGTATCTTTGCCAAAATTGGTGCCATCATTTTTAAAGTAATCAGGTGGAAGTTGTAACTCCTGTTTTAATGATCATTTTATGACTACTAAAATGATGGTATACTGTTTTTATAGATGCTTATATATTGCCTCTAGGTAGCAGAATGGGGGGTCGGGGCCGCTCCAGGGCAGCTCTTGTTAGGGGTGTAGAGCACACAGCCCATGCTTCGGTGCTCCCCAGAGGCTGGGGTGAGGAGAGTAAAGCATCATGGTTTAGATATGACACACTCTCCGCGTGACTTTGAGCAAGTTATATAACCCTTTGGACCTTCTGTCTCCACATCTGTATAGCGTGATAATAACATTGATCCTATAAGGTTTTTAGGAGGATAAGTAAGAGAATACAGTCAGGCTATAATAAAAAAAAAATCAGTAAAGCATAGTTATAAGTTATTCAATCATGAGTGGATACGGATTCAGGGAAAATCAGGGTATTGTGACAGACGTCGGCCTCCTGACTTGGTCCTACGAGACCTCAGGCTGGGCCACTTATGAGGGCCACAGGGAAGGACTTTGTAAACTGCAAAGGGCTGCACAGGTGCAGGAAGTCTGAGACAGCCTCTTGGCCCTGCTGGCTGACCTCAATGCCTGAAGGGCCACCATTACAGCCACTCCTTTGTGCCCAGATATTGTTTATGTATAGCCTATAAATGTGAGCAGAGAGGCATTTTTTAAAAAAGATTTATGTTATTTATTTATGCAAACAAGAACTGGGGTGTAGGCGAGAGGTACGGGGGGTGAGAGGATTTACCAGAGACAGAGTGGGGAACAGGACAGGCAGATCTACTGAAATACACTGCTAAGGGGAGCAGCGGGGAGACAGGAGAGGTCTGCTGCGCCATGTGGGTAGCTCCCTGGCAGGGTATCGAACTCATGGCACAGTGGCTTTAACCCCTGTGCCACCAGGGAGGCCCCCAGAGAGGCATTTTTGCCCACCTGCAGCTTGGGGTGTGAAGGTGCACCAGTTCCCAATGCTATTTCAAAAACCAGTTGTTTTGATTCCAAAAATGAAAATTTCCTAGAGAAGTTCATAAATCTAATTTTCTTGAGATTCCCATTCAGAGAGAATGGGTAGGACATAGGGATTTTTTTTTCATTGATTCTGATGTACAGTCAGGTTCAATAATACTTGGATCAGATTTGGTTTTTGTTGTTTTGCAGCACAAACCTAGGGGACAAGGGAACAGAATGATTTAATTTTGATAAAGGAAGAGGGAAAAAATAACAAGGGTGCTTCAGAAAGGGGCAACAGATGTGAGGCCTCAGCAATCCTTGGCAAATAGGAGTGGGGCAGGATGGGAGCCCAGAAGAGGGGGAAGTCCCACAAGCAGAGGCTAAATTCAACTTGACCTAGCTGATATCTATTTCAAGAGCTGGCTGTGGTGTAGGTATGTGTGTAGTATGCATGTGTGACAGTGGGGGAGGGAGGTATAATATGTAATCTACGTGTGTTTATACTTATACATATGTGTATATATACATATATATGGGCATGCATTTAACTCTTGAATTTCTGCATGTTTCTTTGTAAATGAACTATGTTCATACACTCCTAAGCATATAGAAATGTGCATGTACAAGTACTGATACCAGTATATATATATATATATATAAGAATGTGTATATGTGTGTGACTTCTACATATATGCTAGGCAAATGTTAGCAAGACAAGGGTATAGTCCTATTCAGAGCTGAAAACAAAACCCGGCACATTTAATAGACATTAAATGATGCAGAGGAATAATTCAGATAACACACAAGAACTTTTATACACCTACTAACACAGCTTTGAAAATCAAATAATGAAAAAGAATAATACTAAAGGCAACACTAAAAACGTGGGGAGGGCCTCCCTGGTGGTGCAGGGGACTAAGACACAACCTATGAAGCTATCCACAGCCCCTGCAGCACAAGTTCAATCCCTGGCCAGGGAGCTACCCACATGGCGCAGCAAACCTCTCCTGACTCACCCGCTACTCCCCTCAGCAGTGTATTTCAGTAGATATGCCTGTTCTGCTCCCCACTCTGTCTCTGGTGAATCCACACATACACACACACACACACACACACCCCTCTGGCCTGTACCCAAGTTCTTGTGTGCATAAATAAATAATAAATCTTTTTTTTTTTTAAAGTGGGCAAATACACAATTGTGGAAAGTTTCCAGGTGCTGCTGGTGCCCGTGGCAGATCAGCCAGGGTCTTTTCAGTGGCTGGGGTGACCTTTTTCCTCTTTTCCTAGGTGACCTGCATACCAAGAAGCCTCTAGTGGCCACCAAATATGGCCTCCTCCAAGGAAAGCAGATGCATGTGGCAAAGACAAACATCAATGTGTTCCTGGGAGTCCCCTTCGCCAAACCTCCTGTGGGTACCCGCAGATTCACTGCCCCGGAGGCCCCAGAGCCATGGAAAGGAATCAGACATGCCACCACTCATGCCCCTGCGTAAGAGTCAGAATATCAGAGGAGAGTGGGCAGAGACTGAGGAGGGTATTGGACCTGTGCCTGCTTCTGGGCCCCAGTTTGGACAACTCAAGTGAAAAGAATACACTGTGTGAATGCAGGCAGGCCTGGGGCCCATTCTGGGCCTAAGTTTCCAAACTTATACAATTCCAAACCTACAATAATTGATCTGGGTGGTGATTAGGGCACTGATAATGCTGTCGTTGGCTCTACCCAGGGAGGGATCCTGGCAAAGCAGCAGTGGTCACTATACCACTGAGTTTTCTTAAAAGGTATGTGAGGAGTAGTGCTTACACACACACACACACACACACACACACACACACACACACACAGAGTGAATCCTGAGTTCTCATTCTCTTGAGGCTTGAGCCCAACAACAAGCCCACATAGAACCACAGCCCTTCTCTGCAGAAGGAGCCCCAAGATAGGGTGGGTACGGGCTCACTTTCAGCTTTAATTTCCCAGGGCCTTACTGCCATCTCTAGCTTGCTGCAAACGCTGAGTTTCATGAACATGTTGGGACAATGATTACCCTTTGAAGCTGGGCTTGGCAGTTTACCCAGAACAAGTATATTTATTGTTTACTCAGACCATTAAGTAATACACAGTGTCCAGAACATTCTGCAGCAATGTTCAGCATAAGTTAGATAGAGCCTCAGGGTTTAGAAAAATGTCTACTGTAAAAACCTGGGTGTCAGTTCATATAAAAAACTACAATCATTATCCTGGGTATCTAGTTGTTATGAAGAGACTGTCCATTGTAGAGCAGGCTGTCCAGTGTTACTGGAACACGAGGAGTTACCTGTTAGAACACGGGCTGTCACTGAGAGAAGTCCAGGCACTCTGCAAATTCTGTGACTGCTATTTGGAAGCCATGAATCAGGTGTACCTAACTTGAGATGGTCACTGCTAGAACCCCAAGGATCAGAGGCTTAAGCATTGGCTGTCCACTGCATAGAAATCTGGGTGTCAGTTGGTGGAACACTGGCCACGAGCTGTCAGACAATGACTGTTTGGAACACTGGGTGGTGGGTGTAAGAACTGTGGGGTGGTAGTTAATAGGGGTAAGTAAGGAGAGAGGAAGTTGTTACAGAGATAGTGGCTTCAACTAGGGTAGTTACAGTGGAGGTGGTGGGCAGACTCCAGATTTATTTTGAAAGTAAAATTGACAGGATCTGCTGGAGAGCTGGAAGTGAGCCATAAGGGAGAAAGAGTAATCAAGGATAATGACTAGTTTTGGGCCAGCGCAGCAAGGGGGTAGGGGTGCTACTTACTGACGTGGGGAAGACTAGGGCAAGAGCAGGTTTGGACAAAACAAGGGTTCACGTCAGGTCATGTTAAGTTTGATGTGCCTGAGAGAGGTCCCTGTGGAGATGTGGGGTAGGTGGTTTGAATAAAGGGGTCTGAAGGCCAACTGGTCAAGAGCATATCAAAGATGTGAAGTGCTCAGCCTGGGTGAGAACAACTGTGGAAACAGACCAGTCAGAAGGAAAAAAGAACCAAGGGTTGAGTCCTGGCATTCTCACATTAGGCTCTGAGAGAAGAGGAGGCGCTACCGATGAGGTGGCAGGAAAATGGTGTGCTCTGGAAAGCTTGTGAGGGAGAGTGTGGTCAACTACATAGAGGGTTACCAGGGCAAGTAAGGCAATGGTAGAGATCTAGCAAGATGGAGATCATGAGTGACCTTGACAGGAATGGTTTTGGTGGGGGAATGGGGACAGATGTCTCAGCTGCTGGTAACCCCACTTCTTGGGTATAAGAGCTCTGGTTTTCAAGCCAGGATGCTGGTTGTGGTCTAATACACAGCATCCTAACACCAATATTAGCTGCTACCAAGAAGTCAAGCCAAGGAAGACCAGACAATCTGTAGAGACAGAAATGTGCTGCCTCCTGGTGACCTGGGAGAGGCTGGTAGGGGTGGAGGCAAAGACAAGCTACTGAAAAGTTTGACCTAAGGGAAAGAGAGAAAGAGAGAGAGAGACAGAGAGAGGATAGTTGCTGAAGAAGTGGGTGACAGAGGGCAGGCAGGCAGGCTTGGACTCAAGTATGTGAAAGCGCTGCTGGAAGTTGTGAAGGAGTGAAGGGGAGCCGGGGATCCTCTGGGGGTGGGAGGCAGGAGTGAGGTACACAGACAGGCTGGGACAAGATGGAAAAAGAGCAGAGGAGTAGGCAGGTTTCCTACATCCATACAAATGGGCCAGCCAGAAGTATCAAGAGAAGAGCCATCTTCCAGGCTGGAACGGCAAGAACAGGTAAGGTGACCTGACAGTCCAAGCAAGCTTCCTAAGTACATCGGACGTCCTCACAGCACAAGGCGCTGAGCTGGGTGCCAGGATTCACAAATCTACCTCTGTCACTGCCCTTGGGGAGTGCCTGGCCCCTTGGGGAAAGAAACAACTAATGGAAATTACCCCAAACCAGTAGTGTAGCCAGGCAGAGAGAATGTTGGGGAGGGTGGGGCAAGTGTCCAGCAGAGGGAGCTATGAGTTCTGCCTGGCTGAGGAGAGGGCATTCGGCAGAGGAGGAGACAAGGACTTGGAGGTGGCAGGCAAGGGTGTGGAGCACATGGTGTCGGGCAGGACACGACTAGATGCACTGGAGGATCTGCACCAGTGTGGGTGAATCTGAACTCTACCTAAGGGCAGGGGCGCTGAGGAAGGCATTAAGGAAGGAGTGACCTGGTCACTTTTGTGTTTTCTGTCAACCTCTGGCCAGTGTGGAGGATGAGGCGACTGCATGTGAAGAGGCTGGGCGGAGGCCTGAGTAGAGGTCGCGGTGAAGGCCCTCACGGACAGCAGGCGCGGAATGGTGGGGGAATTGGGTGGGGGGGCCTGTTCAGGTGCAAATCAGAGACTAAGGGAATGGGAGGACATGAAAGTCTCGGGGTGCCCAGGGCAGCCGGGTTCCTGACTTGACAACACCAACAGGGTCTCCAACAGGAGCAGGGACCCTCTTCCCAAGGGGCGAGGCACAGGGCAGGAGCGGATCCTGAGCACCAAGCCGCCTTCCATCCCTGGCCCCTAAGCTACGGAAGGCGCTAGGCCGCGGGACAGAGAGGCCCTCGGGCATGCACACGCACACGCACACGCACACTCAGGGCTGCCTGGACTTCGCGTTTGGTCCCATTTCACCATGGAACGTGGTGAAAACCCTTCCCCTCGCTCTGGGCGCCCCAGGCCCCAGCTGGGCCCCTCACCTCTCGCCCACAGGTGCCTGCAGGAGTCCTGGGGGCAGGTGACCTCCATGTACTTCAGCACGGGGAGGCGGTACCAGTGGCTGCGCTTCAGCGAGGACTGCCTGTACCTGGACGTGTACGCGCCGGCGCGCGCGCCCGGGGACGCGCTGCTGCCGGTGAGCCCCGCGGGCGCCCCCGCCCGGCCCGAGCGCGGCCCTCGGCCCCCGCCCGCGCGCTCAGACGGCCGCCTCCTCCCCAGGTGATGGTCTGGGTCCCGGGAGGCGCCTTCCTCGTGGGCGCCGCTTCCACGTACGACGGCTCGGAGTTGGCGGCGCGCGAGCAGGTGGTGGTTGTGCTGCTGCAGTACAGGCTCGGCATCCTGGGGTTCCTGAGGTGGCCGGGCCCCCCCGCCGGGGCGGGGGTGGAGGGGCGGGGCCCAGGGGCGCCGAGACGGGCGGGGGCGGGGCCTGAGGCCTGTGGGCGGGGCGCGCGCTGTATCCCGCCTCTACGGGGCGGGGCCTACCTGAGGCGGGACAGGTGCGCGCTAGACCTGGTCTCCGAGGGACTGGAGGGGGCGAGGCGGGCGCACTTAGCCGCGGGGGCTCGGGACCTTAATCTTGAGTCCCGCATGCCCAGCACGGGAGACAGCCAGGCTCGCGGGAATTGGGCGCTGCTGGACCAGGTTGAAGCTCTGCGCTGGGTGCAGAAGAACATCGCAGCCTTCGGTGGAGACCCAGGCCGCGTGACCCTGTTCGGCCAGTCCGCTGGGGCCTTCTGCATCTCGGGACTGGTGAGTGCAGTGCTAGGCTCACCCAGCAAGCCGCAGGCCTTCTGCTCCCGCAAGTGCATCCCCCACTGCACGGACAAAGGCAGAATAAGTGTACAGGGACATCCCGGTCCAAACACCCGTCCTCACCCCGCAAGCGGCTCGTCCACTCATGACAAGGGTGTGGCACTATTCAGGGGGAACACTGGTGGGCAGGAAAGATCACCCAGCCCCTTTCGCTTCCTCACTCGGAGTCTGAATGGAGGCCACCATCTGCCTGCTGGGCAAGGCTGGAGCCACAGATGATATCTGGGAGTCATGAACAGCTCACCCGGAGTGTGCCTGGGGTGTGGGTGTGAGGTCAGGTGCCCTGCGAGGGGCACTTGCCTGGAGAGTGAGCAAGAACCACATCACACCTGGCCTTGTGGGGCACAGTAATACTGTTCAAACACCTGCGCACTCTCTGTGTGTCTAAGCCCCTTGCATGCATGCATTCATTTAGTTTCCCCCAACAATCCAAAGCAAGAAGTTTTGTCCGTTCTACAGATGGTGAGGCCCAGAGAGGTTAAGCAAATTTATCCAAGATGCACCGGAGAGTAGGGAGAGATTTTAAGCAGGAAAGTGACACCACCCGATGTGAATTCTGAGCGATGGCGCAGCCTGCTAGAACTGGGTTGAAAGAAGCAGGAGCAGAGGCTTGGAGTGCAGAGGCTTGCAGTGCAGAGGCTTGCAGTGCAGAGGCTTGCCACAACCTGAGGGGTGTGGGGAGGGTGGGTGATATCCCAGAGGCGCTGAAGGGGACTAGCTCTGAACTGGAGACAGGCAGGGTAGAGAGGAGAGGACGGTTACTGAGCGATGGAAGAGGGCGAAGGCCAGGCCTGGGCAGCTGGGCTGCAGACATGCGCAGAAGAGATGGTCCGGGACTGGGTGGATGGTATGGGGTGAGGGACACCACCTAGATGGGGACTGACTGAGGCAAATTGGAAACACATGAAGTCTGAGGCGCCCCCAGAGCAGGACAGGGGGCCTCAGATACAGCTGTTTCCTCAACGTGGGAAGTGGAGAAAGGCTAAGTGCTCCATGACCACGGGACTCCCCCACCATTTCCCGCCCAGCAGGAGAAGGGGGCCTTTTCCACAACCTCAGCTCACCCCTGAGGGCTCTTGGGGCCCATTACACAGCCAGGATACTGAGGCCCTGAGGAGGGAAGGCATCGGCTCTAGGTCTAGGACTCCAGCCCAGGACTCCTGACTCCCTCCCAGCTGCCTGCCTTCTTGGCAGTGGCCCGACAGGCACCCCAGAACGCCCAAATGATCCCCACTTGTGCATCTCATGGGTGCGATGCTCTCCATCCCTGCAGATGATGTCCCCCCTAGCCCGGGGCCTCTTCCACCGGGCCATTTCCCAGAGCGGCACTGCAGTGCTCAGAAATTTCATCAATCCTGACCCGCTAGCGGTGGCCAAGGTAGGTGCCTCCTCTCCCCCAGGGCTCAGCATGGAGCAGGAGGATAGCACCACCCCAGCTCCCTTCTCTCTGCAGAAAATTGCCCACCTGGCAGGCTGCAAACACAACAGCACCCAGATTCTAGTAGAATGCCTGAGGGCACTACCAGTGGCCAAGATGATGCATGTGTCCAAGAAGATGGTAGGTGGAACTTCCTTCAAGCTCCCTCACCCAATTGTCTGCAGTCACCCTCCTGACTCGGTACCCCACGGCCCCAGCAACGTTGTCCCAGGAGCACATTGGGGAGGCTCCCTTTAACTCTAGTCCCTTCCTCTCTTCCACAGAGATTCTTCCACTTCAATTTCCAGAAAGATCCTCAGGAGGTAAGCAGGCCTCGTAATATAGTTCCAGTATTTATTGAACAACTAATGTGTGCCAGGCCCTCAGTGAACTGTTTTGACCGAGAACCCTTCCCTAGTGAGGCTGATGTTTCTGTGGAAACATTAAACACTATGATTCATTCATTCACCTCCTTAGAACGTGATAGGTACATAGCAACACTGGAGCAGGCTAAGGAGGTCAGGCATGTTGGGAGAAGCAGAATTTCAAAGAGAAGTCTCCATTGAGAAGTTAACATTTAGCAAAAAATTTCAAGAGGGGAGAGGGTGAGCTACGTGGATACCTAGAGGGGCATCCCAAGTGTGAGTAGCCTGGTCTTGCAAATATTTGCTGCTTCTCATCCACACCTGCTCCAGGGGCCACTGAGCCCCAACTTTTTCCCAATCCAGAGTAGCTGATGGAGTGGGACCTGCTGAACTGGGCACCCTAGACTATAGGTAGCCTGGGAGGGTTTGCAGGAAGACTGCCTGCAGATAGCCCTTGTCTTACAGATCGTGTGGTTCATGAGCCCTGTGGTAGACGGTGTAGTGTTCCCAGACAACCCTGTGGTACTCCTGACCCAGGGGCAGGTTGCACCTGTGCCCTACCTTTTGGGTGTCAACAACCTGGAGTTCAACTGGGTCTTGCCTTATGTAAGTAAATAGAGGGTGCCCACCACAGTAGGTTGCAAAGGATGCCTCTTAGGTAATGTTGGGTACCAGATCAGATCCCAGTGGCCTCTCTGGGAAGCCCAAGTGCTTGGGGGCCTCCTGTAGTCCCTGTGTAGTAAGAGCTGGCCAGAAATAATGGGGGGGGGGAGAGAAATGTGGCAGCTTAGAGGACTGGGGCCCCAAATCTTCAAATCATAGTTTGTATGAATGATCATGTCCATTCCTGCCTTCAGGCAGCTGCAAATCCTGGGGCTCTCCCTTGCTCCTCAGTCACAGTCTGCCCCTGCTCAGGAGAGAGACTTCCAGCCCCCACGCAGCTCTATACTAGGTGCTCGTGATAGGCAGGCTGGGAGCAGGAGGGTGGGGAAGGGTCATGGGCACTTCCTGCACTGTGTGCTCTATTGGAGAACTCACCATGCTGGGGCCTGGCCCACACCTGGGTCCCTGTCTTGTGGACAGATCATGAAGATCCCGCTAAGCCGACACATCATGAGAAAAGAAACCCTCTCCAAGATACTCTGGAGCACCAGCACCCTGTTGGTGAGGGGCCCGACTGTCAGGGGTACTGTTTGATTAAAGAAGGCTGATCCCCTTTTTGGAACCTGGTAGCTGCTTTTCACAAAAGGCTCCCAACCAGGATAAAGGTTTTCTCTCTTTTTTTGGGGGGGCGGGGGAGGAATCTGGGGTTTGGCATGGAACCAGATCGCTGCTGGTGGGCAAGCCTCCCCCGCCCCCAGCAGCCCGAAGGACCTGGCAGACTATTCTTGTGCAGCAAGAACACAGGGGGAGGAATCAGCAGAGGGAGGCCTTCCCAGGAAGCTCCCCACTCCCCCCTCCCTCAGGGAGACAACTCCCTGCGAGTGCTGAGCCTGGGTCTAGTCACTGATGTGGCCACCTCTGGCCCAGCTGGCGCCTAGACCTCAGGAAAGGTGCAGAAGAGGGAAAAGGCTTCCCTGGTCCTTGCCACAATCCTGGGATTAACTCAGGATGGGCGTGGCTTCCCCCTGCAGAACATCACCAAGGAGCAGGTACCTCTGGTGATGGAGGAGTACCTGGGTGAGATGGATGGCGGCGACTGGAAGATGTTACGAAACCGCCTGATGGACCTAGCTACGGACGCTGTCTTTGTGTCTCCCACCCTACGGGCTGCTCGCTGCCACCGCAGTATGTAGGGTCCCCAAGAGTGCCCACACCTGGCCCACTCATGGGCTTACCATCTGCTCACCCACCCTCTCTGTCCCTCTGGGCTGGTGAAGGGTTTCAAGAGGCCACTGAAGAGGCAGTATTCTTGCAGCTGTGAGAGGAGGAGCTGCTCCTTAGGGGGGCAGGGCCCAAGCAAGAACAGAGAAGACAGCCTAGGCTGGTCAGGGAAGTCTTCCCGACTGAGACAACAGGCTCAGGGGTACCTTGGAGAACCCTCCCCTGGCTGACAAGGGCTTTGGAGAACATGTTGGTGAGAGATCAAAAATGGGGCTGGAGGGAGTGGATGCTGAAGAAACTTAAATGCCAAGCCAAGAGAGGAAAAGCTCAGAAGATTGCCACAATCCTGGGAATTCAATGATAGCACCCCTAGACAGCAGACGAGGAACTGCATCTCAGAGAGCTTGGGTGACATGGAGAACTGGGCTTACAGACACCGTTAAGATCTGCTCCCTTGATCCTGAAGGCTGCTTGAGGCAGGAGGGGTGGGATGCCAGGGGTGGATAAGGAAGTCAGCCAGCGGCTTCTCCTGCAGCCCGCCTCAGTTTCACTCTTCCTAGACGCCGGCTTCCCCGTCTACCTCTATGAGTTCATGCACCATGCTCCCACCACCATCATTATCAAGCCCCGAACTGACGTGGCAGACCACGGTGATGAGATCTACTACATCTTCGGAACTCCCTTCCTCAAAGGTGCTAAAGCCCTACCAGACACCCTCACTGATGTCTAGTCTCCCCACCTTTGTATTCGGAGCCCCCCCCCCCCCCACTGGCTGACCACAGAGAACTCACCAGTTCCTACTCGGGAATGCTCTCCCCAATCAAAGCCCCCACTATGGGAGGAGCCGCAGAAGGCATAGGTGGGACAGCATCACCCTCTGCTCTTTCCCAAAGCCACACCCCATTGTGTCTCCAGGCCACTCCGCAGGTGAGGAGAGGGCACTGAGTTCCCGGATGATGAGCTACTGGGCCAATTTTGCCCGCACAGGGTAAGTCTGGCCCCGCAATACATCTGGGCACTAGATACCATGGCAGCTGCTTCAGATATTTGTCCCTGCCCATCGCTCAGGAAAGGCACCATCAGCACAAGCAGAATGTTCCTTCTTCACCTATCCCCAGTCACAGGTCCTAAATGTCCCCAGCACATGTCCCTCTTTGTCCCATGAGCCACACCCGTCATTCACTCCAGCATTCAGCAGTCGTTGCTAGTGCTAACTTCTGTACCCAAGCAAATACCGGGAGCTGGAATTGGAGGACATCACAGAGGGGACTCCCACCGCCCAGTGGCTTGTTCCCGCTTAAAGAGAACATTACATTACAACCTGGCATAATGAGAGCTGTACTGGGGGAGCAGAAGGCGCTTTAAGAGCATAGAGAGGTATCTGACCACGTTGGGGATTGGGTAGGGGTGGCTTCCTGGTAGAGGTGACATTCAAGCTGGGCTTTGGTGGCCTCATGAGGAGTTTCGCATCCACCTTCAGACACTCAAGGGGTTTTCTGAAATATCATCCGACTAAGTTAATCACCTGCTTAAAACTCTAAATGGCTTCCCTCTGCCCCCAGGATAAAGTCCCAACCCTTTAGCCTGACACAAAAACCTTCAGTCTTTTCTGTGTTATCTCCTTTCATCCTCTTCACATGCCTCAGGTTTTAACCTAACGCTACAGCAATGCTCCCTCCAAAAGCCCGAGTATGTCCTACCTCCTACCCTTAGCGCATACTGTTCCCTCTGCCTAGAAAGACATTTCCCGCCACACATCTTCCTACTCTTTCTTTTTTTTTCTTTTTCTAAAAGTTTTATTTATTTATTTATACAAGCACTGGGTACAGTCAGAAGCGTGGGAGGTTGAGAGGATTCATCAGAGCCAGAGCGGAGAGCAGAACAGGCAGACTGACGAAATACACTGCTGAGGGGAGCAGCGGACGGCAGGAGAGGTCTGCGCGCCATGTGGGACCCTTGCTGGCGGCCGGGGATCAAACCGGCGCTGCAGAGGCTGCGGGCAGCTTCGCAGCCCAGCGCTCAACCGCTGCGCCACAGGAGAGGCCTCCCTACTCTTTCTTAAAGCTCTGTTTACATAGCATATCTATAAAGCCCCTGGACCCCAACTTCCAAAGGGGACGGGTAAAAGAAGGAGGCGGGGTGAAGATGAGCACAAATAACATTTCTTCCTCCTCCTGGGCAGAAACCCCAATGACGGGAAGCTGCCCTACTGGCCGCGCTACGACAAGGACGAGAAGTACCTGCAGCTGGACTACGCTGTGAGGGTGGGTGTGAAGCTCAAGGAGGAGAAGGTGGCCTTTTGGATGAGGCTGCACCAGAATACAGGGTGTGACACGCAGAAGCACTTCTGAGGGTAGTTCTCTAGGAGGGAGCCTAAGGGATTGTCCCACCGCCCAGGTCTTGGGGCAACTGGCCCTGGACACATCTTGAACAGGGGTCTTGACCTCCCAAATCTAGGACCTGCAGAGACTCCCTGTTGACTCCAGGTCAGAGCCAGAGACAGCCTGTTGTTTAGGGGCCCTATGCCAACCTGAGGTACCTGCCTATCTCACTCATTTCATCAGGCTAGGCCCGGCCTCATCGCGGCCACAGTACCCAGTTCCCATCTCAGGAAAACCCTTCTTTCCCTTCTCCAAATCCTCCCACCCTTCAAGGTGAAGCCACTTTTATGGGAAGTCACCCAGACTGTCACTGCCCCTATCACTGCACCCAGTTGAGCCTTTACCCCGCCTTCTGCGCAACCGCGTGGCTCCTCACACTGGCCTGAGGCCTTGGGCAGATTCTTTGTTAGATGGAGAGAAGCTTTGAGAGCTTAGGGTCTTCTCCCCCCTCCACACTCATCTCCGCAACGGCCTCTCCAAGCCTGGACACAGGATGGTGCACAATAAAACCATGCAGACGTGTCCTGAATTTTACCTGTCCAATGGCTGGGTGAAGCGGACAACATCTTGACTTGAGCCCTTGGAGGAGTGTCACTGCCTACTCCCTGCTGGGCCGAGCCTCTGTGTTACACTCTGTCACGGGAGCTGCAGCTAAGTCGCCTGGGCTGCCATACACTTTTTTCCTTCATGAGCGCATGGACCCCCTCGGGTATGCTCACTTGTCCACAGACTTAGTCTTGGTGGTGCATCCACATTCCTCACCCTCTGGTCTCTCTTGCAACTCAACCTGGACATACTCTAGCCTTTCCCATGAGTCTTTTGTTTTTTGTTTTGTGTGTGTGTAGTAAAATATACACAACATCGCACTCACCTAGAAGGTGGTCCGGGCAACCTCTGTAGAACTCAGTGGGTGCTGAGTGTGTTCCAGCGGGGCTGGATTCACCCCAGTCCTTGCAGGGGTCCTCCTGTAAGGTCCAGGTCCTGATCCCAGGCTGGTCCATCCTCTGAGGGGCCCTTCAGTTCTCCCCTCCTCAGGTTCTCACACAGGTCTGAGGTAGGAGCCTTCTCCAGACGGATACCAGCCCAGAGGCTATCTTCCAAATCAGAGGGCGTCCAGCTGAGCAGGAGCCAGGGCTCAGCCAGGATGCGAGAGATGCGAGAGTCATCAAGAACACTCAGGAAAACCCTAGCACTTTCTCTGGGAATTCCAGCCTGGAAGAACGCTGGTGGTCCGCCTGCAGGGTGGCTGGTCCCTGCTTCCCACAGTCCCGGCCCACCCCGCACACACCTTTCCCATCTCCTCAGAAAGGTCCCTACTCTCTGTCTGCCCACCTCTGGCGGCCCTGCTGGGTGGGAGCGGCGGGGAGGGCTGCCTACTGGGGTATCGCCTCCCTCCCTTCCTGTCGCTGGGGCCACCCTGCCTCTCTCCTAACCCCCGGCCAGACCCCACCCAGTAGAAAGCGGTTTTCAGATCTGGTTGGATCTTGGTGAAAACTCTAGGACATTTCTGCGGCTGCTCTGCCCCGTGGCCCAGGCCGCCACTAGTGTGAGGCAGCACAAAGCTCCCAGCGGCTCTATTCGGTCTGAACCTGACTCCCCGCCATGCAAACGGCGCCCCTTCTCCTCCCCTAACAATCCCCCAGCCCCTGCCTCTGGAGCAGCAATTACCCGGCAAGGCGGCTGGGGAAGGGCCAATTAGTGCGGGAGAAGTGGCCCCTCCACAGTGCCCGAGCTGACCACAGCCCCGCAGCCAGCCACTGCCTGGCCGCCGCGGCTCTCCTCGCCTGGCTGACGGCGGCTGCAGCCCAGGAGCCCCGAGGGACACCGCGTGGGCCTTCAGCCAGCTGCCGTGATGGATCCAGCAGCCTGGCACAGGGCCAGGGCCCCAGTGGACACCAGCATACTAAGCCTGAAACTCACCGCCCCTGCTGGGTAGTGAGAGTGAGCTGAATGGGGGGAGGGGAGTCTTACCCTGTTCAGGTTCCTGCACTCACCCACCCCCCCACGCCTGCCATCACCTGCTGCATGAGGGCCACAACCCACATTGCTGAGGGGCCCCAATCTCAGGCATAAGACTCAGGCGCGGCAGCGCAGGAGCACGCTCTTCCCATGTGCTCCCGCAGCCTCACGGTCCTCCTGGCCTTGGGACTTTCATGCCTGTCTTGGTCTGGGGTGGTCAGAGCAGTTACCCCACAGCAGATCCCTGCTGGTATCCCTAGCAGGCAGGGCCTGGCCTTAGAAGCCCTCAGCCCTGCCAAACCTTGCCTTTGATGCAGAGAGATGGGCAGGAGGGTGATGCTTGGTGCAGGGACACAGGCCCTCATGACTGAGGAGTGCCTGCAAGGGCCTCCTCTCCTGTGTTGCTGCCCTGCACAGCCTGCCTCACACACCTGGAGGCTTCAGGAGACCTGAGCATCTGCCCTGCCCTGCAGGAGTCTACAGGCTGCCTGGGTAGAAGTTCCAGGGACGTGGCGGGCTCCCCCAAGCTAATTATAGCTCCGAGGTCCAGGAAGGAAGACATCAGGTACAGGAAAAGGGGCTGGAAGAGGGAGCAGTGGTGGACAGGTTCCAACACTTTAAGGCTTCCCCTTCCTCAAGTGACCCCCCCCTTCCAGGCCAAGCCTGATACCCTGTAGTAGGGCCCTGGATCTACGCCCAGGACACACCCTGGATAAAGCTGAAGTTTCTAGAAGGGAAAAGCAGCAGGGGAAGGCTCAGAAGGAAGGTCCATCAAGGAGGCTGATCAAAGAGATCTGCTACCCAATATTTCTCTTCTGTTTCCCTGTGAGTGCCTCTGTCCCTATAATCTGAGTCCATGCCCTGCACACATGTCTCAGAGAGGGCTCTGATGGAGCCACTGTCTAGTGTCCACCCACGGCTGCCCTCAGCTCCCAGAATCCAGGTGCCAGCCAGCCAGATCATCTGATGCTGAGAGAAGCAGGACTCTTCTGGGCACGGTGGCAGGCAGAGAAAGCTGGTGCAGCACACCCCCCCAGTGGGTTCCTTTAAAACTATAGCAATAACTCCATGGCCACGAGTGGTTAGGCTTGGGTCTATTTGTTTTGAAGTAAATCTGAAGGGAGGGAAGCCCATTTGAGTCCTGAAAACTGAGGCTAGGATTAGATGCCCTCACAAAGCAGAGTTCGGCATGCTTCTTTTGGGCAGATTTTGGGAGCTGTGTGTTTCTCCCTGGCCCCTTGGTCTGTGTGTGTCCTCAGATAAGCTACTTTCCTCTCTGGGCCTGGTTGTCATCATCTGTGCCCTGGGAACAATCTCTGTGGTCAAGCGCTACTCCAGCTGTGCCCCCGATCTCCTGTCTACTCCTAGCCCTTTCAGCCACAGGCTCTGTGGAGGAACATGCTGGTAACCCCAGCAAGGCGTCATTGGTGATCATAATGGATCTCTGACAGTGAAGGCGCAAGAACCCTTTAGGAGAGCCTTAAGGTGGAAGAAAAGCCTTTCAGGAAATTAGTACCAGTGGCAGGAAAATTCATCAAAAGCTGGCAGAGGCGCCTGCTGCTGATTCATGTCTCCTGCCTAAGGAGCAGCTCTTCTGACTGGGGGAAGGACTGGTAGCCTTCAGGGCCTCCCGAAGAGCCCAGATCCAAGATTCTAAAACGCTGGCGCTTCTTAGCCTTGGTGGAGGCACCGCCATCAATTTGCTGTTCCTGAATCATGGGATTCTGTAGTGCCAGCACAGGCTGCTGATGGGCAGGGGCCTTGATCTTTAACACAGCCCTTCCTTCTGCTGTGTGATCCTGGATACTCATTGACCTCTCTAATCCTTCCTGCCGGGTAGAATCCTGACCTCGCCTGGCTTCTTGGTGACCTATATATCTACAATAGTCAGTACATGTGGGAAAATAGTAATTTTTCAAAGAGCGAGGATGCAACCATCCCCAAAACACCCCTAGTAGTTGGGAGTCTAATGTGAAAGCAGGGAAACAGCCTGAATGTGAGGCTCATTTTCCTAGGCATCAAGCACTTCCCACCCACAGTGCCCAGGTATGACAGGCAGAGAGCTGGTGTAGCACACACCTCCATGGGGCATGACTTAATCTGGCTTACAGTGTGAATGAATTCCTGGATATAACCTGACCTCCAAGCCCTGCCTCCTTTGGGCACCTACACACACACACTCATACCTCACATGTCTCAGAGAAAGCTCCAGAAGATGGGGCCATTGTTTGGCCCCACCTCACCCAAAGCTCCCCATTGGGCAGTCTTTGCAGCCCCTTCTAGCCAGCCCATGGCTGCCTTCAGCTCCCAGAATTAATCCATGTCCCAGCCAGCCAGCTCATTTGATGCTAAGAGAAGCAAGATCCTTTGAAGGGGCTATGGATGTAACTTAGAGCCTCAGGGAATCTCGTCCAGGGCAACACCCCGTTCCTGAATTGCCATTGTCCTTGGCTGAGCTACAAATGGAGGCAGGCCAGAGTACACCTCTGCCTTCGGAGGGCTAACTAACCCCCTCGCCTCACTTGACCAGGTTCTTTTTTTCAGGCCCTCTCAGCTCATTTTATGGCATTTTGACTAGAACGTGTGTGAATTCAGGTTGTTACTCAGAGCTCCCCTTGACTGTCAGCATTTAAGGTGGATTTGTATCAAAGCATACAGCTGAATAAACCCTAGAATTTCGAGCTAAAAAGGATCTTCGGTAGCCATAACCACCATTCCCTGAGATCTTAGATCGCTTTGGGCCAGACACTAACCCAAGTACCGTCTGTTGTTTTCGTCAGCCCTGTACACCCACCTTTTCCCTGTGACATCACCCCGTCCACAGCTACTCACAGTGATCATAATTCAGGGATGAGCAGGTAACCTGAACTTGGCCTATTCAAGACAAGCCCAAGCTTTTTCTGGGAATCTCAGGAAAAAGCAGTTCTCCTCACTTTAGGGTGAAAATAAGCCTAAAAGAGAAAAACAGAACCTAGAGAGAGAAAGAGAGAGAGAGAGATTTCTGCTGCAGTGCCAAAACACCTGGATCCAGCTATGAC